GCATCGTCCCACAAATCACAGCCTACAGCTCATCTCCTAAAACCATGCTTGAGCATCTGATTGTGGAATTTTCAAAAGCATTTTCAGAGCATGTTCATATTTTCTACAAATGATACTAAAACCTAAAAGGGAAAAAACCCCTACACATATTCAGGCACGGTCTTGTTTTAAATTTACCTCTGAGTTTTTTCTGTTCCCACTGACAAGATCAAATGTTTGATGTACCTTTTCTAAAACAGGTAAGATTTTTAAGCCTTCATTTTCTAGGCTTCTGAAAAAAACCTTAACAAGACAAAAAGACCTGCCAGACTTTGTAAAGTACAAAACTAAAAAGTGCGTTTGTAATATTGAATAATATAAAACAAAAACATTGCCCAAGAAAGATTATTTTTTTTCAGAAACTCTATTGCATTTTAAACTCTAATGTGTTGCCAGGGAGAGCAAAATCAAAGGCAATGGGGACAAATGACGAAATTAAAGTTCTGACCTACCAAGAAATAAAAAAATTGACACATTCTAATGAAAAGCTGCAATTTGCATGTTAACAGAAATAGACTATTTGTCAAAGGTAACAGGAATATAAAAAAACCTAACAACCCCAAAGCCCACTATTCTCAAGATTAGTAATATTTCAATGACCTTGAGCCTGGCCTTGGTTTCTTACATACCAGCTCTGCAAAAAAAGGTTCACTTTCAATCCCTGTGTACAATTCAGTATAAATGATGCTGATGCTCCAGCTCCACTGGACTTTTTTTTTTTTGTAAACTAGAATGGTGTTACACAGAGATCCTCAATCCAATAATGGAAACCAGCTTTACAAATCATCTTGTCTCCCTATCCTTCCCCATCCTGCCCAGTTTGTTTAAATGCTTCCTTTCTAGCCAGTTAGTTTGTGAACAGTTCAGCACATGTGGTTTAGGAATTACAGGGTGAGCAGGAGGAAGGGGGAATACAATTATCAACACAATAACTGCCTTCTTACAAAGCCAGAGAAAACACAGCCTGAAATGGCTATTCTTGGTTTAGATTTTAGTCACTTAACATTTCTGGGCAGCTGTCTCAGTAAATGACACTCCTCTCCCACCATCCAACAGAAAATACTTTCAGAAACTGAAACGGCTCCTCCACCCCCCTTAAACCTTCTGTGTAATGTTAGGGTAGCACTGAGACAGCGATCTAGGTGCCAACACTGGGAAGACTTGAGTTCCATAAGCACAATATTGCTTTGCCAAGCACTCAGACATATGCAGCCACAACAGAAGTATTGGAAAATCTTCTGAAGCAAGACAAAACCACCCCAAATTAGATCCTGCATGATGGCAACTCACTAAACAGCCTTACTCTGGAAGAAAATTTTCGCAGAACAGTAATTTAGAACTCTGCAGAAAGCATTCATGATACAAGGAGTATGCATAAACCAGTTACGTTTTTCGAAATTCTGGATTATACTAAAGGAAGCTGTCATTTCACATGAGCCCAGTACCCAGAGACGATCAGGACATACAAGGTACGTCCCACCTCCACATCCTACTCAGCGCACGGGGGAGCAGGGAACCATTAATTTAACAAGTTAATTCCACAAACATAACACGTCTGCAAGAGCGACTACAGACTGAGTACCACATGCAGAACATCTAAATTATCTCTAATTGCTGCCTACCCGCGGGTGCAGAATTCTCTTGTTTGCAAGTTAAGAACTGCACAGCCTAAGCGGAACTGCTCTTCTCTAGCAGCCCCCCCAACTACCTGGATTTAGGGGCGACTGCCGGTTCAGACTTCAAGCTGATCGCCGTGCACTCCGACAAAAACTGCAGAAAGCTTTGCGCAGCAATACTCAACACTGTGTGATCGCAGAGCGATCTGAAACCTGACCGTACATCTCCCATCTCTCTCTGAGAATGACTGCCTCCAGACGTTAAGCTTTTACTTGGCTATTTAGGGCGCTTTTTTTTTTAGAGTTTGTCCACTTAGGTCAATGTCACATTGCCTTTCAAAAGCAACAGCCATACCCGCCTGCAGGCTAACGTGATGGTTCGAGCCGGAATTCAGACAACTCTGTAACGACACAAAACCCCACCCTGCTCCGCTGAAGGGGCTGTTGGTCTGGGGGGATGTTTTTGGTCCGCCCCTCGGTGATCAGCGTCTCAAGCGTGTGTGCCCCTGTACGGTGGCCGGGCGGAAAGGCTGCGCGCCGCGGACACCGCCAGGAGCGGATCTCCAACAGCAGCAGCACCGCCAGCGCGGCCCGCGGACAGCGCCGGCAGCTCCGCGGGGGGAGGCGGCGCCCGGCTCCCCCCACCCCGCCGCCGAAGGTCCCGGCAGCCCCGCCCCGCGGGGGTGCGGGCAACGGGCCTCGGGCCTGCCAATCACGGCGCACACCGCCGGGCCCGGCCGGTACCACCGTGACCTCCGGGGCAGCGGCGGCTCCGCCCCCTCCTCCCCGCCCCACCGCGGCCGGGGAGGCACTTACCGTCCCGGGACGTGCCCATGAGCTGGTCCAGCATGGCGCGCATCTGGGCCTGCGCCGACATCTTGAGCGCGGGGGGGGGCCGGCGCGGCGCGGCCGAGTCACGCCGACAGCGGCCTACAAGGCCCGAGGCGCGGCGGGCGCTCGGCCCTGCCCCTCGCGTCACAGGCGGGGCCGCTCCCCCGCCGCCGCGGGGGGAGGGAGGGAGCGGGCGCTGCTCCCGCCCGGCTTTCCCGGTGGGAAGCGGAGCGGGAAACTCGCTTCGTGCCGGTGCCGGTGCCGCCGCCTCGCGCCCCCACACGCTCCCTCACTCCCGCTCCCTCCCGCGCCCGCCACGCGCGCGCGCCGGCGGGAACGGAAACCCACGCGCACGCGCCTTGCGCTCCTTCGTCCGCTCCGCGACGTCAGCACGGACGGGCCTCGGCGCCCGCCCATTGGCCACGGCCTGCGCCGCTCGGCTAGTGACGCACCGAGCGGAGAAGCTCCTGATTGGGCCGCCGGTCGGGGCCCTTGGGGCGCGCTGATTGGCCAGAAAGGCCCGCGTGGCCGGCGTGACGTCACGGTCTCCGGGTCAGCGGCGGCGCCGGGCGGGGCCGGGGTCCCGGGCGGCCCCGGAGCGCCCCGGGACTACGGTGCCCGCTTGGGGACAATTGCCGTCTGGGGACAGTGCCCGCTTGGGGACAGTTCCCGTCTGGGGACAATTCCCTCTTAGACTGGTGTGCAGCACCACTGCCACGGCCTCTGCTTCCTTCAAGTGCGAGTACAGTCGCGGTGAGACAAGTTAATACCCCGCTAACTGGAGAACCTCCCTTAAAACTGCGCTGTCGGCACATTTGGCTGATAATTCCACTTACAGTGCACCAAAGTCCATAAAAAAACCCACGAATTTTACCCATTCTAACGCCTGCATTTTGTGACTCTTCCTTTGTCAACCATCGTGTTGCCATCTAGTGCCCAAACCCATCCCAAAGATCAGCTGTCGTCGTCCCCAAGCGTTGACGGGTTCAAGGTTAGCTCCATACGAGTGAAAAATGGCCACACGCAACCTCCCCTAACAATAACCCCCCTCACCCCAATTATCTCTACTTCAGAAGGACTCGTAGAGAAGATGCTCTTCTGTAACACATTCAGGAAAAGATTCTCTACCCAGTGCTCTTCAGCTAATTAGGATATGTCCTGGCTTTGCTTTTTCTTTAAAATCGAAATTTACTTTTGTTAGTCATCACGTTGGATTGAAGGGGAAGTAAATGGAAGAGACACCAATGCTTGTTAGAAGTGTCTGTTTAGGTACCTTGGTATGCTTAGGGGAAATTTAGAATTTTTACTGATTATTATCACCAACACCATACACACTTTAGCTCCTTCTACTCTTTAAAGAGCATCTGTGTCTGGCCAAATGATCGCTTTTTTCTTTTTTTTTATTTTTTAATTTCCCTTCTCAAGCAATATACTACAGAGTGCAGCGGTTTTCATTAAATAATGCTGAACAAGCAGTGTGTAACAGCCATTCTCAGTGTGTGGTGACATCCCACAACTTTATCTACTGACCTGAAAATAGGTTGATACTTTTCCACCTATTATATCAAGGCTTTTGGAAAAAAAACACCATTTAACTTGTGAGACTTGCAAACTGGAATTCTGGTCAACAGAACCCTAAAACTTGTAGTTCACATCTCCTTGCCTTACCTAAGCAGCCCAAATTTTCCCTGTTTTAAGGATCTGTTGTGCCTATCCACTATACTGTGGGGATTAAACCATTCCCAAGTTTTAAATACAGGGGAAGGAAGAAACAGATGAACTGATTCTCTTTGTAATGCTTTTCTGACAAAACACTTTGTTTTCCCTGGCAGTAAAAATACCCCAACAAACACACTCTAATTTTCTTAGAGTTGCTTCAAGCTTCCCCCCAGATAAACCTCACATTTTTAGCCATTTAAATACCTTCTTGTTATAGATTTCTTACATATCTTGCACATAATACAACACTCTCTTGTGAACAGCAACAACTCAGGGCCTTTTATAAAAAGAAACTCACTGTTCCAGATTTGTGAGGTGAGTCCCGTTTGTGCACCTCCTGTGACTGCCTCCAGTCAGTTCCCTTCAGGTTTGCTGAGATTCAGAGGGAGAGGGAAGCACAGGAAGCTGGCAGTCACTTCTCAGGGACAGGGAGAAACATGTAACTCATAAAAATTCACCTCTCTGAATCGCTACTGCTCACTCACCGCCAGGGCAAAAACCAAAAAAATCTTTAAGGTGCAAGAGGTTTGTGCTACTGCAGTGCTCACCAGAACCCACAGAAGAGACCTTTGTTCTTGGGAGAGTAGGGAATTCCACATACACAGAATATGGCTGGGAAATGCTTCAGTAAACACTGGACAAATTCTCTCACCTCCCGCATTTGAACCACGAACGCCTGCAACCCCTAGGACAAGCAGTTCATCAGTGAAGGCTGACATGTTTTTCCACTGCAAACAACCTCTCTGTCAACCCTTGGAAGGGTCAGGACACACATTCACAAGATCGGGGTGGGCGTCTGGGAGGCCTGATAGAGGCAGAAGGGGTCGGTTGTCTCCAGTTACACCTTTCACGCCATAACCTACACCTGACAAAAGGCACCTGCTACAGACCCCAGCCCATTCCGGCAGCTCTAGGATATATATTTATTCATTGAGGAAAAAACACCGAACACAGCAGTCCCGCCTCAGCCCTTCCCTCCCGGTTGCTGCGGCAGTCTGAAGCCCACGAGCCCGGCGACCTCGTGCGGCGAGCGCTCTCCCCTGCCGTGGTACTCGCGGTGCAGGGCCTCGTGCTCCCGGACGCTGCGCAGCAGGCACAAGTAGGTGGCGGCCTGGAAGTGCAGCTCCTGCTGGGCCCGGCACAGCTTCTCGCTGGTCACCTGCGGGGAGCGGCGGTCAGGGCGGCCCCGAGGCCTGGCCGAGCCCCGGGAGCTGCCGGGGGGTCAGGGGCGGGGGGGGGGAAGGCGGCGCGTACCCGGTGCGCGCGGAAGCCCGCGAGCACGTGCCGATAGGCGGGGCTGTCGCGATAGGAGCGGCCGGCGGCGTGGCGCAGCTCGCGCAGGAGCGCGCGCAGGGTGCGCAGCGGGGCTCCCAGCGCCGCCATCTTCCGAGCCGCGCGCGGCGCGCCGGCCAATCGAGCGCCGCCGCCGGGCCTCGCCCTCGCGCCCCGGCAGTGCGGGCAGTCGAGCGCCGAGCGAGCGACGGCCTCCTCCTACTCTCTGCCGCCCTCCCGCGCCGTTGCAATCGGCGCTGGTGAAGTGCTGGGGCTCGAGCGCCGAGGCCGGGGCGAGCCCTCTGCACGCCTCGTAACCGGCCTGTGGTAACGGAGCGGGAGCACCGGGAGTCGTCCAAGACGCGCAGCGTACGGCCGCGGGCGCGTCCCCGCCAGTTTCTGGGGTCTCCGTTTAAAAGACGCTTCGGGTCACGCTGCAGCCAGAAGGGGAGACGCCCACGAAGAAGTTGAAGAGCCGCAGACTCGAGACAGCGAGCGGCTCACAGACGTAAGGAGAGGCTGCGCGGCTCGAGTGCGAAAAAAATTACCCACCCCAGATGGGACTCGAACCCACAATCCCTGGCTTAGGAGGCCAATGCCTTATCCATTAGGCCACTGGGGCTGTCGCGGGAGGGTGGTGTCTGTACACTTAGTTATCCACTATCCCCGCCCCTTCTCCTTTTACGACGCGTATCCTTTAGGCCGGTGATTGGGCAGCGCCGCCCGGCGCGGCTGCGCGCGGCCCCCTGGGAGCCAGGGCCAGGCGGGGCCGAGGCGGGGGCACAGTCCGTCCCTGGCGTTTGGCTGCGGCTCGGCAAAACACGGTGCTCCCACAGGGAAGGGCTTCCTGCCCCAAGGACCCTTTTGCGGTTTCTAAGCGCTGGTCCTGGCACGCAGTGTTACCCTTGCTCGGGCGGTTGCCCTGACCGAAGAAGGCCCTCATCCCCAAACAGAAAAACCCGCCAAAAAGCCCCAAGAGGGCCGACCCTTCAAGTGAAACCTTCCCCCATTTTTATTTTTGTGAGAAATCACAGACACAGAGCAAATATGTACATTCCTCTTTATTTCATACAGCACAGACACGTGACACATAGAAAAACAGAAAAGTACACTCATGAAAAAGCCTGTCGCAGTCAGGGACAGGGAACAGCTATGCCAAATTGAGTAAGGCTCCTACTGCAGAACAGGGGTCTGCCGGCAAGGGTGGATCCCAGAGCAAAGTCTGCTGCCTAAAAAAGCTTGTGCTCCTTTCAGGGAAGCAAAAAAGGGCAAGTCCCTTCCGGAACAGGTGAAGGCAGCGTTCCCCGCAAGGTTTGCAGGATACGAACCCCATGACTGTGTTTGGATCAGAGCACTGATAAAATGAAATGCTCTCCAGTTATTCTCACAGAGGGCCAATAGTCCTGACCTCTGAAAGCATTGGACTGCTCAGGGATAGGTAACCTGAGTTCCTGGAAGGACTGAAAACGTCAAGTAGTCACACAGAAGAGAGTTAAAATTAGCCTCCCTGACAGGGCTCTGCTAGCCACAACTGGGAATGTGCAAGGAACTAACCAGCTTCCCAACTAACAAAAGACTAACAGCCATTAAACTGACCAGAACAATATAATGCATTGGAACTGACGCGGGCTTTTGAGGCAGCAGCTTCTTCTTTTTCCTGCTTCAGTTCAGGATGGAGATAAAGCAGGCACCAGTTCCTCTGGCAAAGAGCCTTACACACTTTTAAAAAATTAAAATACAAAAAAGGGAGACAGGTGTATTTACAAAATCCATGGCTGGTACAGTACATCATTTTTAAGACACACTAAATGCTACAATCTTTCAGGTCCTGAGATTATTACAAAAAAAACCAAACCCAAAACAAAAACAAACCCCAACAACTCAAAACTTGTGTTCAGGTCCAGTTTTATAAGGAGAGAGGAAAGAAACCACACATTTAAAACACAGTATCCCTTGAAGTTATTGGAACACACCTCCCTAAAAAATCCAAATGAAAGTGGTGCTTGCCACCCAAATGTAGCTGCATTTGGAGTTCAGGCTTATTGTCACAAGAGGGGAGCATTTAATGGAGCAGTTTCCCTGGAGAGCTCATCAGGTAAGCACAAGGCTGTTGGGATCCTCTCTCCATTGCTAAGCCCTATGATCTGGAACTCGAGTGTTAAAAGGAGGAAGGTGGCCTTGTACAAATTCATGTTGGACTGAGGAAAGCATCACAGGAATCACCAACTCAAACGGGTTTGCCATCTCCCAGTAACTACACACTCCTTTGTTAGAAACCGAGGAATGCAAAGAATTCTAGCTGTGATTTAACACGTGTTAATAACAAAAAAAAATTCCTCCAGCTTTTTATTCTGAGCTCCCCAGTGAAAGGCAGCAAAATAGTTTCTCAGCCCTTCATTGTCTAGGGGATCACAGCAAGTCAGGTAAAATTAAACTATATCCAGACTTCTAATATATATATATATATATATATATATATATATATATATATTAGAAGTTACACCAAACAAAGGATATGGAGGCCAAACTGCTGTTGAGGGGATGTTCCCCACTGCCATTAGCTGTGCAGGGCACTCTTCTTCACTGACCCTCTTAACAGGCAGGCTACAGGGACTTGTACCCTCACCTGTTTTTTTTCCCCCAATGAACATAGAGATTTTGTATCATCAGAAGTTATCACAGATGCCCTTTTATTATAAGCAACTGATCTTAAGCTAGAGAATTGCAACTTTTTAAGGATTACTCATTAAATGCTTCTAACTCTCAGTAAAAGACTACAAGAGACAAATCACATTAACAAGGACACTAGTTTAACTGCTAAAATATAGTACTCCTCAGTAGACTTTTGGGGGGTAAAAAGTAGTAGTTAACTTTGTTGTTGTTTTTTTTTTTTTTTTTTACAGTAGTCCAAAAATAAAATTTCTCCATCTATTTCCAGTACAGATCTTGATAACTATGCAAGAACATGGTACTAATTGCTACATGATGAAATCACCGGCAATAAAACACATACTACAATTCTCACCTCTGAGCTAAATTGTTATTTGTAGTTACATACAACAAGACTAAAAGACCAGTGAGAACCTGGGGACTGGGATTTAGTTTTTATTTAGCTGGTAACTCCCCTTGTTTAGAAGCAACTTCATTTCAATGAGAATTTACTTTAATTCACTTCTGATGCTGGAAAGAAACCTGGGATGTCTCATGAGTTTCCTCCCAAATCCAATCTGTACATTAAAAAACATTTCTGCAGCTTCTTAATCCATTGTGAGAGCTGACTATTCTACAAAAGTCTCAGACCAAAACCTGTCACAAGAAGTGATTTCAGCTTCCCTCTCAAGCAACTTCATGACACTTGACACTACGTGTTGCACCAGTGAAAGGGTTTCTTTTTTAAAATACAATTTTTTTCATGTTAGCAAAAAGTTCTGCATTACAGACATTCAAAAATACTCCATTTTCTTTGGGTAAAATTTCAATATGTGTTAAGAGGGGTAGCTGGGGAAAGGAATGCATGTAACACTGAAACACGTAAATACTTTTCTGCATAGTTGATATTAGTGACTACTAATCAATCTAAGGCCTTAGCTGGAAAAAGCTGAGAACACAAAAAAGTTTCTTCCCCCACTCTGGTGAAATCTGCTAAGTCTCAATGAAACTCTGTCTACCTCAGCAACTGCTCAGTTTGGCCTATGATAGTGGCATCTTCTGACTGGTTTTGTTTTATTCTCTCCCACTCTTTTTCTCTTGGTACTAGACAATAGCAAATATGACTATTTACTGATAAAACACATCTGCACACATTGCTAGGAAGAAACAAAAAACCCTTTTAGTGTTGTGCATGATAGGAACCAAACATAGTGTACACTGCTTGGTTGGGATTACTTCACCATAAAGAAAATCTTAGTAGCTAATGGTTATTGTTTAAGCAGGAGATGACAGCAATGGAAGAGACTGACACACACTTCTAGATACAAAACATGGTGGTGGTTGGGGTAGAACTACAGCTGTTAAAAATGGCTACAAAAGACAGGACTATATCCTTGACTACTGACAAGATTAGCAGTTTTACTTATGAGTGTGCAAAAACAGTAGCAGGGAATTTTTGTACTTCCCCAGTTTTGGGCCAGTTCCAGGCCATGTTGATCTCTCAGCATAATTCACAGCAGCACCAGGGCTTTCTAGAGCCCCAAAAGGCTATTACAGCAGCAAGGGATCACTGCATCATAGAAAAAGGATGATGAAGCCTCACCAGAAGTTTCCACAAACAAAGCATTCCCCTACGCAACAGTTATTTTTCCAGTGGCCCAGTAAGCATACTTCTGGCTGCTTATTTTGGCAGTGATTTCTTAAGCAGTAGACAGATACAGATTTTTACAACAGCGCCATTTGTTAGAGAGTGCAGCAGTCAGCCATCATCACCAGCTGTAGATTCCTCATCCCACAGATCAGTCCAGGATGAAGAGCATGTGTGTTAAAAAGGAACTAAACAACGTAATTGGTGAATGTGGTAAACTTCACTGAAGTAACTTCACTGATGCACCTAAGACAGATTAAGAAGCACCTTCAACTACCACTCCAACTGGCTGAGCTACCAGCAATAGTCCTATCTTTGAACGGCACCATTAGATTGGTAGGAGAAATCCACTTATGGCATAGTTTGCCTAACAGGTTAACTTGAACAAGTGAAGACAAGCCAAGAACTGCGTTAAGCTTTTCTCTGCCACAGGAACATATTTGGTACCATATTTTCTGCTTTCCACACTGGTTCTCCACCCATGGATGACTCCAACTCTGTAAAATAAATGCTTCCTTTTCATATTGCAACTCAAAATTATAACTTCCCTAGGGGAAGCACATCACAGAACTAGAACAGTCTAGTGATGCATATGCATGTTACCTTAAGTTTAGCACTTGGTCCACAAATGAAGTGCTAATTTCAGGTATTCATGTTTATAATAATCATAAGTTAGATAGATCCTCAGCACAAAGCTGTTAAAATCACTAGATCATCTATTGCAGATAGCTAACTTTGTCTGAGAAGGAAACAAGCACACATACTATTATGAGGATTTATCTGCAGCTAAGAACACATGAACTTACTGTTCATTATAGTAAGAGAAGAAACCACTAATGACATCTCAACAAATTGAAAAGTACAACTTGAAAAGTACAACATGACAAGTGACTTAGGCAGCATGTGAAGCATAGCTAGCTTTAAACTCAATTAGCAGCTGCACTCTTGCAGGTTTTACCAAATTCTTTCTTACACAGGATGCATGGTGGAAAGTGACAACTTTGGTAAATATAAGAATCCTTGCAGTAACTGGTATCAAGCAGATATGATCAGCTGCACACAAGATTCTTGCAGTTAATCTCAATTCAAATATGTTGCAAGCTGCTATTTTAACTTGATTTACCCCCCAGCTCCTTGGGGCTGTCAGCCACACATCTCTGCCTCAGACTCAGTGATTGTGTGAAGCAATCCAGTCATTAATAAGGGCCTATAACATTTTACTCATGACCTAATCAAGAAACAAATTCAAAACCTTCAGAGAAAAATGCAACAAGTTTCATTCCCGTTAGCCACTTCCTTTCTCTCGTGCACATTTACACACACTCATGCACACACTCTTTTATTGTACTGTCATCTTTGCACAAATGTTCATTCTTGAAGTAGCATTTAACAGAGCCAGGAGAATGGAGAAAGATGAACAGGTTTCAGGAATATTGCTTGTGTGTGTGTGTGTGTGTGTGCACGTGTGAGAGAGAATGCACAAGCACATAGAAACAATGCCACAGTACAGCAGCTATGCAGTTACACACATTACACACTTGGTTTTGTTTTTTGTTTTTTTTCTTTACAAAAGGGAAAAAAAATCCCAGTTTAACAGCATAAAGCCATCTTGGCAAGCTTAAGATTTTCCTCCAAAATGCTTGCTAGCACTTCAGGATCGCTGAGAAAAGTTTAAAGACGGTAGGGAAATAAAATTAAAACAAAAAAAAAAACAAACAAAAAAAGGCACTTAAACAAAGGACAAAGGCCTGAATCAAGTAAGTCATGAAGGGTAACAGCCATTTCACCAGAGCTTGGACCAATCAAAGTCTACCAACCTTTTTAAAAACTTCTATAAAATTAAAATTGCATAAAGTGTTAATGAATCAATTGTTTGCCTAATGCGTTAACCTTCTGGTTCATTTTATGAAAAAAAACCAAAACAAATAAAACCAAAACAACTAACAAGCCCAAACAAAAAACCAAGCGTCCCTTTAATGATTTTCCCCCCAGTTCAGCAAAAGATGAAAGTCAGCTGTGGGAAAAAGCCTTCCACAGTTTGGCTTGGCTGTAGGTTTTCCCTGCAATGCCATTTTCAAAAACAATCCAGAACAAAAGTAGAAGAGGGACCACTGTGTTTTCACCAATTCACTCAAAAACAAACAAAAATCGAAACAAAAAAACCCATCAACCCAAACACCCAAATGCTTCTAATCCAACTGTGGGCAAAAACTAATCAAAAGAAAACAAAAAACCCCTGTAAACTAGATTAAAATTTGCTAATAAATACAGCCAAAAGTTCATTTTCTGAATGTAGCAGCAAATGTGATAAAGTTAGTTGGAGTCCAAGGTGACTCCCAGAGGGTTACTGGTTCACACAACTGATGGCAGCTTGGGAGAGTTGCAGATTTCTCTGTTTTCATGTCCTCAAGGGTCTTGCACCAAGTGGAGAAGGAGTGTGGAGGAAGGGTCAGGTGATGGGACTGCAGGAAGGAACAGGCTTTAGGCACCTGTCCCACCCCTTAATCTGTGCAACAGACAACTTTGATCAGATTCAAACACAAAGCAGAACCCAGGTAATTAAAAGTTTCTTCTGATTAGCAGAAAACAGATGTGAAACCCACAGCATCCGCACTTGTGACTCAGTTGATCAGTATTTAGACATGTTTCTCAAATCAACAGAGAAGGCTGGACAAAGTGACTTAGGCCATTTGTGTCTTGGAATGGGAGAACACTGCAGTTATAGTCCAAGGTATCAGGAAACTGCAGCCCGTTTTTCATCTAGCCTGCCTTCTTTCTTTGCAAGAGTCTCTAATGATTTCACATAGCTACCGTGGTTTTTGGGACTTTGGATCATGTAGCAGGGAATACTACCCAGACAGTTTCAACACCTAAAACCTATGTTTGAAGTTATTGCTTGCATTTGTTTGGGGCTTTCAGAGAGCTTGACACATTAGCTCATACACAATCCCCAAACCAAGTTCAGCCCTACTGCCTGAAAAGACAGCTCTACTTGGCTTTCTTATTGCTTGTGAATACTGAGGGTTTATTTAGTATGTACAACTACAGTTTATTTATTAACAAAGGCCCTTAAAAAGTAGTAAAAACCTGGGGGGGGGGAAATGTCTTCAGAAGAGCTGCTGCACAGAAGATAGTAAAATATTAACCTAATTTTGCATTCAAATGTTGCAGTAATCTTTCCCATTCTGTCTATGCCACCTGCAAAGGTCTCTGGGAACCAGCCTATTATTTCCTTTGATTTGGCCTTGCTAGGTTTAACCAAGCAGAATAGAAAACAGCAAGTAAAGGGTCCCCATCTCCAGTGTTGTTCATTGAAAAGACACTCAGGAGTATAATGAATAACAGGAGTATAATGACTGAGTTACCTGCTGGAGGTTGTTTGAACTGATGTCACAGACAATGTATGGTCATCTTTATTTTCATCACCCTAGTATTTATTTCCACAATAAGTTTTAGTTTACTTGTTTCCCAAGACTGAGAAGCTCAATAGGACACAGAGGTAGAACTACTCCTGCCCTCAAGATTTAGAGAGGATACTCTTCAACTGAAGATGAAGTGTATTTCCAGGAAGAAAGGAATGTTGAAAGGGAATTTGTGCTGTAGTTATAAAGGGCTCCAAGTCTCCCAGCCTAAATTTCAGTAAGTATGAAGACAAAAGATGACAATTTGAATGGGATGCCTTGATGACAAAAACACAGAAGAGGTAGAACTCTCTTAGGACGGGGTCCTTTAAATATATTGCTGCCCAATGGCTCACTGCCACAACTCCCTTAGCTACATGCATTGTTAAAGTTCTCAGGTTTGACACAGTTCAGAGAATTAACATTCTGTCAGAACTGTTGGGCCTCAAAAAACAAAGTTGGCTTCCTTCAACCCTTCCTGGAGAAAAGAAAAAAAGTATCAGATGAAGCTTGCACTCTAAATAGTTTATGGTATTTTGACAATTTGTACAGTATTAATGCCAGGGTCTACACAGTGTTTGTGTTTCAACTCTCAACCTTGATGGAGATGCAAGCTTGTCTGATCAACACACCACATACAAAACATTAGTGCCAGCTCAAAAGCATTTCATTGGCAGATGCTGTGGAGTGAAACTAATGAACTAATGCATCTTAATTCAATCTGTCTTTCACAGAAGTGTTGTGCAAAAACATTTATTGCTGAGCTCAACCCAACATTTTTATACTAAATACACAATATATATTATTTTAAATTTATGTATATATATTTATATAAAATTAAAATGAGCTCTAAATAGAAAAGAAATTGTTGTCTGATCTAAGAAAAATAAATCACATGTAAAAGAAACCTGCAAGCTCTAAGTAATCTAGCAAAATATATTGAAGAGTCATTATTCAGGGGTCAAAGTCTCTCTAAAGGTGTGAGATAACCAGCAGTGTCTGGTTCAGTCTCTGAGTCAAACTACCAGAAGATCTATCTACTAAGAATTTCAGCATCTCTGGTCAAAGGAATGTTTCAGGGTTGAAGGAGAAGGGCATCATACTGATTTATTTGCTCCTTTTCCCTATGACTTATTTTAGTTTCTGCCATTCTCACCTTTTATCTGACAGCTCAAGGGACTCAACAGCAAAGTTCTGTCCTAGTGTCGAAAGTGCAACACGTGCTGGATGCTTCCTAATCTTACATGTGAACTGGTTGATGTATTGCTATCAAAGAAAAAAAAAAAAAACCAAAACAAAACCAAACAACAAAGCCAGCTCTGCAGTCTTGTGCTACCATGTAAGAAAGAGTTCAGGTAAAACTCCCCAGGCCAGCAGGGGCTGGAAATGCTGGAGACAACCCATTCAGCCCCCAGAAGAGAAGGCACCTCTGGTCGCTTTTGAACGACTCCTCTTTGGCTAATGCCTGAAGCAGTATTTACCTGACTCTGGAACAGGTCACAATCAGCTTTCTTTAACTAGCAAATCAATATAATGCATGGCTTCTGGGAGGAGTTACATAAAGGATGAAGCCTGAGAATGAGAAAAGAACTTGTTCATGAAAGACATGAATAGAGTATCTTTCCAGTAGCAAATAAGCACAAGGTAAAAGAAAGTTTAACAAATGAAAATACTGAAATATAAGTGTGATTTTAAAAAAAATGTGGGAAAGAAATGCTAGTCTGACCAATAAAATATGGGTTTCTTTTCATGTAAATGAATTTCCATCCCCTTCCTCCCTTAAATAAGAACTTTTGTACTAAAAAAACCCTGAAAATAAATCAAATAGTCTGTGTCTCACATACTGATGTACCAGATCTGGTTTTGAAGACAATTCTCTACTGAGACTGCATACATCTGTAGGCTCCCTAAAGTCAAAACAGCCTTCTAAAGCTGGATCAATGCCCATTATCAGAAACTGCTTTTGTCTAAAGGTTTAATTATAATGCAAAGTATCCCAGCACCATCTCTATTCTACATAACCTTTGGTCCACAACCATATAGTACACTCAGGACCTACACGTCATCTTATACTGGGCACTTTGGGCACTAAGGAAGTGGATGATTCCACCTTGAAAGGAGAAACCTATTCTAGCACCTTTCACTATTTCCACTTTTCACTGGACTTCACCCAGAAACAAAATGTTGGTGCTGCTGTGGGTTTGACGATCAATTTCTTTTAAGAGCCAATCAGAGCAGATAAAAAAAGGTTGTTTCTTTAGGCAATATCAAACTACGACCAGTTTGCATGACCAGGAGGACCAGTCCTCCTTTTCCTTCTCTCTTTGATCAAGTATTGTTTTATTTTTCTTCTTCCTCTCACCACAGTGCTTAGGATCAGAATATGTAAACATTGACAGAAACAGCAGCCCTGTGACAATAAGCACTTTCCCAACTGGGCAGATTCTGTCAGCCAACCAGAACTGCTTCAGCTCCCTTGCTTGTCCAGAAGTCACTGGTTTTTCCGCTGTAACTTAGTGTCCCCTTTACTTTGGCCTCCATCTGTAGTTGAGAGACAGAAACAAAAGGGAAGAATAAAAGCATGAGTGAACTTTTGTTTTTGTAAATTGCAGTAGGAGAGACAAGAATTTGGCAGGTTCAGCTTTAGCATCACCAAAAAGTACATGGTCTTTACTGAGTGGAAGACTTTGAATCTTTTCTGTAGGTCATTTATTAGAAATAGCATTGTTGAAACCTGATATATCAAGCTTCATACCAAAACACTGCCCAATTTTTTTTTGGTACTGAGAACCTCTCAAAGAACGAAGAATGCCCACCAAGCTGCCACCCTTCCCATTCCTTCTCCTGGCCCCCAGAAAACACATACAGGTGACAAAGAAAGGTATACACTCTAAACTGCACCTTCTAAAGCTTTCTGAAAATTTTCCTGCTCTAAGCCTTACAAACAGAAAAATAAAATGTTCTGTTTCAAGTTTCTCTTCTCAATAAAACTATCTCCTATTAAGCATAAAATTCCTAAGGAAAGCAGACATTCCATTAAGAAACCATCCCACCATTCACATGTGTCTTATAAAAAACATGAAAAAAGCTTTTAGCTGGAAGGTCAGTTTCTCCTTCAAAGGACAAATAAAAATTTTTAGTGGGAAAAAACTTTATGCAGCGTATAAACAATCATGTTACTGTCCAGTAAGTACTATTCTTTTTTTCCCACTAGCTGAATTTGTACACTTCAGTTTCTAGAATTGTTGCAGTAAAGTACTGGAATTTTTGATTTTTTTTTTGTTCCTGATATTGAAGAGAAGTAGGGAAAAAAATTCAGGTTCCAAAAAATACTGCTACAATAGAGTACGTTCTGCCAGCTGCTCCCAATGTTTGTCCCTGTGTTGTGCCATCTCTAAACTAAGCACTGATGTAGATTATATTTCAGTCTAAAGCAGAAATCTGACTTTTAAGTTAAAGTAAGTTAAAAATAAGAAATGTATCATGTCTTTACCTGTGTAAGCTTGCTGCAAGTGAGCAGGCAGAGGTGAGTGAGACAGCGTTGCTGCATGCTGAGCACCTGGCTGTAAACCCTTCAGTAAGTCTGGAGGGAAAAAAGGGAGAACAAAGATAAAAAATAAATCCTGAGGAGAGAGGCAGTCTCTGTGAAATAAAGTTTTTGTTTTTATAGTCTAGCAGTAGCAGCTTATCTCCACAACAAAGAATAAATACCTGATAGCATTCTGATGGTTGGAATAAGTCAACAAAGGCAAACCTATTCAAATACAGTTAGTCAAATGTCAGAGCAAGGACCATGCCTTGCTATTGGGATGCAACTCTTCATATACTTTGGTTTGGCAGAAAGACCAACATTTCCTATAGCTTAAGGACATAAACAGCTTCCACATAAGTGTGAAAAAGTAAATGCCATTGTGGTTGACAGTTCTTCATAAGAGAGCTGTTTGATATCTGAGGTTGTTGAGTTAAGGCTACTTTGAGGAATCACCTTAAGTCTTTTATTTGAACTGTGACATTTGAAGACTTTTAAACTCCTTTCTAAAAATAAAGTATTATAAGTTAACCAAAAAAGTATGTTCAAAACTAAACATATACCGTGAATATAACAATGAAGTTAAGCTTATCAAATGTGATTTATAACAGATAGGTATTATGTAAAGAAAGTTTTTACCAGTGAAGGAATCCCATTTACTCTCCTGTAGGGATTTTTATGAACCAAATCCAAGTGTCTCAGGACTTTATTGCTTCCCTACTCAATTTCCATTTTAAGGATGCATCTTTCATTTTAGCACAGTGTCATAATTCCACTCACTCTGAGTTAGGCTGTGGTGGAAAGCCGCTGAGGTAGATCCCGAGGTGGTTGTCACTCCAGCTGTGTCCGTCCCAAAGCCAAGCAGCTCCAAGGGAAACTGGAAGGGCACAGTCACAGGAACGAGGCCACCCAGCATCCCAAAAGGAGTTAATGGTGCAGACGTCACGTTCTGACTGGTCACAGACAGGGGGGATGCCATGAGAGTCAGAGGTGAGGCATTAGCCAGTAGTGATGCTCCTGCTGTTGACTATGCAAAAAGAAAAAAAAAAAAAAGAAGAAGCAGTGCTTTTCAAGATTTTTAAAGACCTGAATTGTATTCTTTATGGGTATAAAAATCAACTATTCCCTGTTAAGTGTTGCTCTGTTGAGAAGTATATTAAACTATTAATGAATATCCAGTTATCCACCCAGGAAGTCTTCCCAGTGCTCATTTGCTAAGCAAGCACAATTATATTGCAGACTCGGACATAAAAGTATGGTTCATCTATCATGTTTTTCTCATCAGCCTTACAGCTAATTTCCTTGATCTCCTTTCTTATTATGCACTAGGCCTACAGTCACAATGTAATGCAATATCTTCTATTAGGTTAAAAATATGAAATTACCCAATGCAGATCTGAAGTTCTTCAGAAGTACAGTGTTACACCTCTCCCCTTTGCAAATCTGGGTCTTAACAGAACATTATTTCTAAAGAGGTTGCAGAGAAACAATGAATTCTGAAAATTAAGATTCATATATAAGAATCCCCAAACTTAAGAAGTCAGGTTAACAAAATGCATACATACATATGAAGAGGTGTGTATGCACATGTCAGAGGAAAAGACAAAGGAAAATAATGTCTCCACTCTAAATGTCAAAATGAAGTTAAATTCACTGCAGCTTTAAAATAAAAATGCAAGATTAGCCAGAACATTTTAGCTACAACAGCTCCCAAATCACATTAATTCCTGTAATATTAGATCAGCTTCTTCTTGTTTAACAATCTTGCCTTCACTGCATATAGAGTAATTTCATATGCTGATGTTCAGTTCTCTAATTATCTACTACAAAACAGTTAGTATAGAAAGCACTTCGAATCAGACTCCAACTCAGATATTGTAGTTATTTGAATTAAAAAGACTGAGACAGAATAGGATTACAAATCTGTGCATTTTTACAAGTAAGCCTCAACTACACCCAAAATTTAGAATCATTTTAATGAACACATGAGCTTAAAATGAAAATGACATTTCACTGAGTTCTGTAATAACAACTTACAGAAAAAGCAAAGTGATGAAATCTCCTAGCATGGATAAATTTTTATTACCAGTTTTGGTCTTAAGATGTTCCAATGAAAGCAGCTAAAGAAAGGACAGTTTCTTCTTATGAGAAAACACAGTATTTTAGAACAGTGGCCCTGTAAAGGGCATTTACCTACAGCTGATGTTCCCAGCAAGTGTTTATGTTGGTCATTTTAAAGGTACCAACTTCTACAACATACTCTATCCCACAAGCAGAAAAAAAGAACGTCAAGCATCAACACACTATAATTCTCTTTTGCCTTTAAAAGTACTAATTTCACAATAAGCTTATGTACAAAAAATTGACAACTGTTCACTGTCTATGTAATCTAGTAAAGGGCAACAAAATAAAAGCAATACAGTAATGTTTTGCAACTGTGAATTTGTTGAAAAACTGCCTCAAAACAAGCTTTTGTAAAGTGCTCTGCCAAGATCTTGCTTACTCACTCAAAAAGAAGAGAGAAATACAGTGAAGAAAAGAGCTACAGAGCACACCCCTAAAGGAACCAGAATCTTATAATGAGCAATGCAGGTACCATTCTCATCTTCTAACAGCATCTCAAATAGGAATTAAATCCATAAGGCCTTAAAAGAAAGGAGGTTCACTTTCAGTCTTACGTGAAGTTGTAAGAGGAGTAACTTAGTCCTTAGTACATGGTACCTAAAAACTAGTCTGGAAGTGATGTTGGCTCAGCAGCCAGCCATTAGGCCTTTATAGCTAAATAAAACCTCTTATCACAAATCTCTTCCCCTTTAGTGTACTTGAACTGGGAGATAATTTAATTCCCATCTTTCCTTGAATGTACTCCATTGACTAAGCTTCACAGTGCACAGCAGCAACAGCCTTATTCCATGGTTTATCTTCTTTGATTGAACCATTTTTATGAACGTAATTTCTGAAGTGTCAGAAAGCCCACATGAAAGGTCTCAATAATTATTTTAGTGATACCATATGCTGCTCAGTACCTTTAGCTGACTTAGCCCTTTCTATATACCAACACACCTTATTTTGCTGTATTATAGTACAGACTCATGTTACTTATTATACACCACACACCCCCACAATTCAGTGCCACAACTCTTCAGTAGGACTGTGGCCAAAATGCATTTCATTACTTGGGTGACCAATGTTTCTAACAAAAAAATTACTTGCCTTTAGCTACAGGAGGGTTTGCCAGAATTCATCTCATCCAGCGCAACACTGCTTACTTCCCTTCTCAGTCATGTTAAAGCACTACCATACCCATTTCACATTTTGTTCTACATCACAGCCATTGCATCTACTGAATTCTGCTGACTGCACCAGGAAGAAACAACCCTCTTCCCAGTCCATTCATTGTAGCTCTTTTTGTCTCCTCCAGGCACCTTCAAGAGTACTCAAACTGCACTGTACTTGGCTCAGCTCTTCTGCAGACCCTCTCTGGTACCTCAGAAGCCTGTACACAGCATACAGGCTGTGGATCTCTTTGCCATTCAAAGCACCCAGAGTAAGTGAACGCTGTGTCAGAGCCTGTCAGACTTTTACTGTTGACTGTCTCAGTACAGAAGTATGGAAGACCATAGAAGCGTTTTGTAAAAATCATCTTCCTCCTGTTATTCAGCTGCATTAAGAAGAATTTGATGGCAAACTAAAAGATTATAAAATATTGCCAGAAGTCAAGTATACATCACTCCCATGCAACAGAAATGTTTCAAAATGTTTCACTATTTAGAATAATACTAAGTTTTTGAGTTGCTGTACACCAAGAATATAATTTAAAGCAATACTACTCTTTTGCAAGTATTGATGACTTCAGCATAGAGAGCACTAGAAAGAGGAAAACATCAAATCATCTCAGTTCCCAGTAAGAAGAACACAACCTAGGAAAGCAGGTTGTCTTCTGAGTAAATAATAGGTTTATATGTTTCAGAACAACAGTATTTTCAAAATATTTGTTTTGTTTGATTTGTCTTGTCTCTAGTGATAGTATAAGCTTCCAGTTTCTAGGGTATTTATATAATAATGGGATATCTCATTCAGTTTGACCAGACCCCACAAAATAAAATACAGTCACAATACAAAAGAAAAGCCCTTGCAAGTGTTAATTACAAGTCTTCAATTACACTCAACCACAGGCAACTGAACTCTAGTTTTGTAGTAATCATGAAGTCTGACAACAAATGTCTGAAGACACCTCTTACATGACCACCATCATTATAAATATGTAAATATGAGAGAATGCACAAATCAAATAATGCAAGTACATACCACATCCCTGAAAATATGGTCACACAAAGCTTACCTTTTCTAGCACTGTTAAAAGAAAAAAAGTGAATTCTTTTCCACAGTATAGACTGACAGTTTACAGTGAGGATTTGTTCCACACTGATCCTTGCATTTCACATCAGCTGGAAATACATATTCTTTAGTGTGAAACAGTTTCATCAGTATCAGAATTATGATTAGAAAAGTAAAAAATTAAATTAATGACATTTACAAATCAGGGTAAAACATCCTAAGAATGTTTACAAAATAAATGTGATAAACATTAATGTACGGCTCAAATGTAAACTTGTTTGATGCATACCTGCACGCTGGCTGCTACAACTGGAGACCCTGAGGCAGAAGATGGTCTGTGTGGAGTTGACAATTGTTTAGTAGCACCCTGTGTTCCACTTCCTGCTCCCCCAGACAGACTAGTCCTACTAGCTCCACTTGAGTTAAGGTTACTGCCTCTGCTGGCAGGTACATTCATTCCAACTCCACCCAGATTATTTTTACCAACAGTCCCAGAAGGAGAAGAGTTGGGCAATTTTGAAGAAGCCTGAGGGTTTTTTGCAGGCTGAAGGCCTGAGGTGCGATTAGAGGACAGCAAATTCACTGTGGGAGACTGCCTGCTGATATTTACACCACTGGTCTGTTTATGAAGGGGGTTGTTGCTGGAGTGACTACTCTGGGAAACTAGTGCACTTGAACTGGAAGAACTGGGTGTTGTTGCAGGCCTGGGGGATGAGGTGGACTTGGATGAAAATTTAGGTGACGCATTGGGCTTGGGTGTCACAGAGGGCTTAGATGAAGTGGGCTTGGGAGAGGCAGCAGGTTTGGGAGAGGCAGCCATGGAGAAGGGAGGCTTGAAACCCTGGGAAGAAACTTGTGACACCATAGCCTTGGCTAAATAGTTACTAGAGGTAGAGGTGCTGGATGTTGTCCGAGAAACCAGTGGGTGAGACACTTGAGAGCCACTTCCAGAGGAAGGATTAGACAAAGGCAGGCGATACACTACAGACTTATCTTGAGCCTTGATCACTGGTGATGAGCAAGAGAGTTTGGGATTACTACTTAGTTTCACCACAGGATTGCTCTGTGATTTACTAATAGTTGCTTGTAAGGGAGATACATATTTCTGTTGTACAGCTGAATGCTGGTGCACCTTTGTCACTTGTGATGTTGAGGAAGTACCACCTTGAACCTCAGCAGATGATACCAAGATATCCTTGGTTCTTTGAGAGGAGGTGGAAATAGCTGCTTGAGTCTTAGAGGAAGAAACATGAGTCTGCGAAGAGGAGGAAGCAGCTTGGATCTGACTTGACCTCTGTAATCCTTGTTGAAGTAGTTTGGCTGGCAAAGGCTCTAAGGAAACCTTGGGATTTTGAATTGAAGATCCAGCAATAAGGCCTGAAGAGATACCAGTGTGAACTAAGTCCTGGGGTTTCTTTGGTACTGGCCCTGTGTGACCAGCAATAAGACTTGATGAATGGGATGTTTGAGTGGGCTCTACTTTCTTTGAAGTTGCCAGAGGCAACTTACTCATAATGCTTGCTAGTTTCTCTTCCCTCAGCCCAGGGCGAGGTCTGGGTGTTGTTGTGTCTATGGTGGACCCAAGAGGTGATCCCTTGGCACCATTGTTGATAACTGCCAGAGCATCAGAAACAGAGTCCAGTGAGGGTGGGTGGAAAGAGAGGTCTTCATCCAGTGAGTCATCCAAGCAGATGGTCTCTGGAGCTGCTGTGCAGCTAGAGCTGGCTGGGGTGCACACAGCTGCACTGGAACTCAGTACAGGAGCACAACTTGAATTGACTGAAGACATACAGGTTTTCTGTTCTTTTTTTGGACTGGAGTCCTGAAAATGAAGGGATAAGAAACATCAGGTTCAATACCCTTCCTGAAATTGATTTAAGGTAATCTTTAGCGTAATACTTTTATGCAGACTTTTAATAATTTAAAAAAGACTGTAATACTTTTATTTCAGTAAATTCAGACACACCAAAGATCTACTACTGAAATTTTCATATTAAGATACTTATGATATCTAGGTGCTGGAGCCCTGTGTCCTAATTCAATATTTGGATTTAAAAAATCTAGTGTTGTTGCTCCACATAACTAAAAGTGTCCATACAGTGAAGAACAACCAATATTGTGAAGAATAGGGTAACTATTCTGATCAGCTACTAAAACTGCTACTGAATTAAGACAACACCTGGTCATGTCAAATGAGGACCTCTATACTATGGTATCCTTCCAACCACACTGTTTTCCAGTGATGTTAAGTTTAACATAAACTGAAAACACACAAAGCACACATGCCAAAATGTGAAACATCACTGCAACTAGTACCTCTTCATAGTCAATTTTCAAAAAAACTACATAGCCTAAAGGGGCAAAGTTATACAGAGGTATTTTGTACTACATTCTTTGAAGTAATGCATCACCAAGCCAGTAAGGACTGCCTGAAAAACTTCCTGCAAGAATTTTTCAGGATCAGAGGCAGAAACAGGTTGTATCAAAAGGTCACACTGGACCATTAAGTGGTATTCAGATATTTTAATAGGCTTTTACCTTCACTTTGGGTTTAGGGGCCAGAATCACCTTCTTCTTTGCCCTAAAACAGAAGGGATAAATGTTCATCAGAAGACCAAAACAAAAGGCAAGTAATTTTCATTTTAAGTGTTACCTTGATTATACCCCAATAAACTAGAATGATGGCTACAGGAGTCCAGCTTAAATAATAAAACATCCTTGAAATGAAAAATGGTTTAAAATATAGGGGGAAAGAAAAATAGCACACTATCAATTCATTTTCCTGGTCATGTATATCTATGTAAATTAGTTGCAAAATCAACTGAATTGATGATATAACCTGACATATAGATCAGGGTATATACAGAGAGCTGGTTTTATTTTTCTGGTTTAGAGGAACATCAAAATATCAGTTAATTTCAGCCTCTTAATATTATCAGTTTGCTTTGTCTACACTGAAGTCTTCTAGAATAGCAACAGAATTTCACTTTTTACGTTGACATTTTTGATCCTGAGGAAGATGCTTCCTATTCTCATTTATTTCAAACTGGATAAAAACAGCTGTTTCTTCCTCCCACAAAAGTGGTTTGTTGCTTATCAACTATTAAAACAGTTGTATGTAATTTGTTTGTTGCAAGAAGTAATTTAGCAAACTGTCAGATTTTCTTCTGCAACGTACACAAACTGCAGTTATGCAAACAAGGACAGCATTAAGGATTATTAGTTATCGGCTTCAACTTAGAGGTTCAGCATTTCACACTTTATTTCTTCAAGGGCAATCAACAGATTTACATCCTGTAGGCAATATTTGATCCTTTCCTAAGCAACTAGAAATACCTGGCTAAAAAAAGACTTTAATGTAGGTGGACCATGACTCAGTTTTCATGTTATGTAGAAAAAATCTTATGTTAATCATATTTATCACAAAAGTGGCAATTGGGGTGTTATTTCAAGTCATAACAATTTATTTGAATTCTGACTGAATGTGGACAGCTCCAGAGAGGCACACAGTGTTGTCTGAAAATGAAGATGATAAAATCCCACTAAGATACACAGACTTCTGTGATTAGAGGTATTTTTGAGGAGAAGAACAAAGTAGGAAGTACTGCAGTCTGAGTTCAGTTTAATAGGCTGGATGCCAAAATTTAGGCAGTGTGCAATGCTTTGAGTAAAAGGTATTAATTCAAGAATTAATACCCCTGGAGTTATCTAGCCACTTCACAAGTGAGTTAAAATATAATGCCACAAGAATGTTACAGTTATATGCCTAAATTAAAGCATTAAAGAAGATTATAAGCATCACTGTAAGTATCTTCACACAAATCCCAAAGTACCTCCCTTTCCTTCCCTCTGTCTAAAATAGGTAGCAGGAAGATGAGAAAAGATGCTCTGCACAACCTAAAGATCTTGTAAAGCAAGTTGTCCCTATTATACTCACGGAGCAGAAGTGAGGTGATTGTGAACACTTCGGCTTTCCTTAAAAAGCATCCTAAAAGAGTGGTGAGAAAAGAAACATGAAATGATTCTACAGACAGACAAACAGCCTCTGAGCACCAAATACCCAAATATCCTTTTTCAGAACTAGCCTTTGATTATCTGTCCCCAAGGGAACTAATGATTACTTTGCAGTGCTGTCATGGTATAGGTCTTGGCATCCATAAACAGAAGATCTAAAGAAATTATAATACTTTGCTGTTGCAGTGTGTTTTTATTTTCCAGGTTATTGTTTGATTTGTTGTGTGGTAGTTTTTTGGGTTTTTTTTCCCCTTGCTTTTGGAGTGACACAGACTTGTCTTTGTTATTCAGTTGAGCCAGGTGTCCGTTTATCTCTTTGCTACTTAGCTACTTTTCTGCCAAGTTTCAAACCCTTTCCTCCCACATCCAGTTGTTAACCCCTCCTGTCCCAAGCAGTTTTCCTCCCTTGTATCCTTTGCCCTTGTGTTCCACTCCCAGTTCTCCAGATTAGCTGAACATTGTATCCTCCCTTGAGACCTGCCCCCCTGTATAAGCTGTTGCTTGCCCCCGGCTCATTGCCTGGGACCCTGAGACTCGGGGAGTGTAACATCAAACAAAGTAACCCGGTGCCACCCCAGGCCCGTGCTGCTGCTGCTGTCCTTTTGCTCTGTGTTGTGTAGCTGGGATTCTGCAGAGCCCCGAAAAGTGGGACCGACGCCCCCCACTGCCACCATCTAGCTGGGACATGAGACACTGTGCCTTTATGCTCAAAATACCTCAGTAAACGGCCAAGCAAAAATCAACATAAGTGAATATTACTTTCTTCAACTGGACAGAAGAAATACACTTTGAATGCTGTCTCCTCAAAGACTAATGAAATAGTTCAAATATAAAATAAAATATTATTGTAAACTCTTCACACTACAGTCCAACACACTGACCCACAGTCTTGGGTTTGTGGTTATTAATCTCTTGTGGCATTTTTTTAAAGCACAGAAGATAAAAGTCAGAACACAATAACCAAGCTTGTTTCTAGTTTTCTTCAGTACTTTTAGTACTGAATGAACTTTAGTAAAAGTTTTGGAAAGTTTAGTAAAAGAGAAACTTGAGGCTATTGTGTATAATTTCTCTGACTTCAGTTACACTGGACTGACACATACATATTACTATAGAGCCAAGGAACGGCAGGAGCCAGTATGACACATCTCAATACTTGCTGTGCTTTTATTCAATGTTTTCAGCTCCTTAGTTGCCAAGTGGAAAGTGAAAATGATTGCTGACCTGTATCTATCCAACAGCTTACTATTAAAATGCAGCTATGAATAGACAATGAACACTTGGTCCCCTTCCTTGTTTCCAGATAGGCAAACTAGGAAAGGCAACATTTTCTTACAGCACTGCCATCACATGGATACTGACCACACCATGAACAGCTGTCTAAACAAGAGCTTTTCACCACTGATAATATAACCTGCAGAGCTGCAATAATTACAAAAAATCTGAGTATCCAAAAATCTCATGTCATCTAGTAAGAAAACACTGATCCTCTCACTACAGTTCAGTGCCTTACTTCTCAGATTCTATTTCCAGCTCCATTTTCACATTTTCTTCACCACACTAACCTCCAAATCTGTATTGCATTGTTCCATCAGAGACTACTGAACACCTATGAAGAACATCATGGAGCAAAACCAACATTCCTCATTACATGTTTAACATGCCACCTCCTGGCCTATACAGCTTCTTCAGAATATTTCCCTTCCCACCTCCTTCTTGGTTCTTTACCCATTCCTTAATATTTTCAGTTTGGAAATTAAAATTCAGAACTAATCACAGGCCCCAGTAATTTGTAGCATCATCCTTCAAGGTGAAAGACAAAATTTTAAGTACTATAAAAGGACAGAAATCAGACATGGTACAAGGAAAGGACAGAGCAGTATATGAAGTCCCTTCCACCCTTAACAATCCTTTGATTCTGTCATTTCCAGTTATGATCAATACCTTCCCTCTTCCTTCCCTATATGGCTATAAGAAACATTAAACACAGTTCACTTTGAAAGTGCAAGAAATTTTTCTCCTGAACTAAAACCACAAAGTTCTGGTACCATAGACCTATCCTGATCAGTAGGAATTCCTTAAAAAATACATGGTCAATAGATCAATTTTAGCATTAAATATCTAATTTTTTTTCTAGTTTATATGGTTCTCACTTGAGCCCATATATAAAAATTAAAAAAATTATAAGCCTTCAGCATAATCCCTAACATAACATCCCAACAAAATGAACATTCAGAATACAAATTATGTAGTGTTTTAGGAATTACCACTGCCAGACTCCAGGAAATACTTTCTTTTCCTCTTTCCATGCAAACCTGTTTGCCTACAAATTATAATACATAACTTCCTTAACAGAAAACAAAAAAGTGCCACCCAGTAGATACAGGACAATTTGTAAGTCATTATGGTACTAAAACCACCCAGTTAGTAAATAAAGTGTTGGTGGTCAACAGGAAGTTATGATCCATCACCTGTTGGGGTTTGTTTGGTCTGTTGATGGTTTTGGTTTGTTTTGGGGGGCATTCTGGTTTTTTGTTTAGTTTTTATCTTTTGTTGTTGAAGCCAATTGTATGGATAGTTTAAAAGCTCATGGAAATTTTCAGCAGACTTATCCAATGGAAAGGAGAGAACTGTATGTTTTATTGCTTTCCAATTCAAAGTTTAAACATGCTTCACTTCTATGTATTCTTGAATCACCTCACTATCTCTTGACTATTTTGCCACTATCATCAGTGATCTTTCTGTCCTATCTTCCATTCTTAAACTAAACTGAGATTCTCTGTCTCATCTAATTCAATAAAATCTTCATAACAGATAACATCAAAGTCGTTAGTCTACTTACACAAAAAACTAAATAATTGAACCAAAATTAGTCAGCTGTATGCCAGGAAGTATAAAACTTCATTTGTTCTTTTTGTTACTATTTAACCAGCTATTTCTACACTGACCAATCATAGAAATATCTCAGTACAGTTATTTTTACAGTTTGGAACAGATTTGACTAAACTAAAATCAAGGTATTAATGAGCAAGTTAAGCAGTTGTATCATTTTGCTTTTACAACCAGATTGAGGTTTGATGAAATTATCTTTTGCAGTGGGTGCTACAGAAAGAAAGAACTGAGGCCAAACAATACTTGCTCTTCTTTCACCCCAAACCATTAGAAATCTCTGCCAAGCCTGTGTTTCAAAACAGTTGACTATTGCTCCCATTTTATTTCTCCCTCTCTTTTGTGTGGTTGTTTCTTCTTACATCTGTAAGAAGCAAGTCTAGAAACTGGTATGTTTTTAACTGCTGCAAAACAGAGCATCCCAACTGCAAACAAGAAGTAGAGAACAAGAACCTTAAGTCTGTTGTGAACACTGCTATCAAAATTCTAGCTTATAATTTTAAATCCTGTGTGAGCAGTCTGATAATGCAGTGTTCCAACATACAGGCAAAACTGATTTCCAGATCATTATCACTTGCTATATCACAAAGAACTTTCCAAGCTGTTACCCCTCCCACCTCATACTTCTCCTCAAATGAAACTTCATGCTCTGTTAGAAGCAGTGGCAAATTCAGTCTCTAGGAGATGATAAAAGCAAATAGCTGTCCAAGGAAAACAGTGGGTTTTTTCACTCTCAGTCTTACAATCAACATAGAAAATTCATTTTAGAAAAATATTTGTTCTTCTAAACTATTCCAGCTTCACAAACATACTGCTAAGTTCCAACCAATATCAATAGTACATGGTTGAGTCAATGTAAGACAATAAATAGGAACTGAAGAAATCATTAACACCATAATGAGTAGATACCTAAAGCAGTTATCTTACCTTGCCTGCATCCAGCCTTTAGGCCAAAGTGGTTTCACTTCTGTTTCCATAAAGGTTTTGAGGTAATCTTCAGCAGACTGACTTCTATTTGGCTCTAGCTCATAACATCCCAGCTTGATCTTGACAAGATTACACAACAGAGACCTGCAAAAAGAAACAAAATAAATATATTGAAAGACACAGTCCTTTCAAAAGCTCAGCAGAAAGAGGCTAAGGAATTGAAGCTGCTGTCTACTGATAGTTGTAGGAAGTGCTCAGTTCCAACTGTGTTTTTTGGAAGTTTATACTGCACAAAGTATTGCTACTAAAAACTCATATGCTCTACCATTGAAATCCATTCTACACTGAGTACTTCAGAGAATTCTTTCTGATAGGGATTTTGTCTTTCAATCTTAAAAATCTAGAAGTGCACACAGTTAAGTAACATCATCCTTTTAGAGACTCTTGAAAGAAAAAAGCAACAGATTTAAGTACCTCTCCCCTCCAGGTCAGTCCAAGCTATATTGCTAGTACATATTTTATGAAGCTTTCTTCCCTGCTGTCTTCACATACTAAAAAGACTCATTGAGAGAAGTCCATCAGCCCCTTTTAGTAATACATACATTTATATATACACACACACATACACACTTGTACTAAAATTATCTTAGATCTTGCATGAGAAATTACTAATGAAGATATGCTTGCTTAAAAGTCTAGATTATTTAAATAATAGTTATCTCAGTTTTTCAGAAAAATCTGTTTTAGGAAACCAAACTCTAGTATCTCATCATTTCAGATAAGAATCTGTGCTACTCTTGAGAGATAAAAGAATTTCTGTTCAGAGGGAACAGAAGGGGTTAAGATTAATGCATTTTCCTAGTTGTTGTTGAACTGGGAGGCTTGCCAAATCAATATCACCAGTCTTGATGGCCTGTCCTCCTGTGGCAGACATCTCTAGTGCTCATTGGTGTTTTGTAATGTATTCTAGAAAGGTGAGAAGCAGTCATAACACTGCTTACACACCTGTTCTTTGCCTAACGAAGCTCAAAGTCCTGGAGTCAGAAAATTCTCATGTATTTGGATAAAGCAAAGAAAAAACAAACAGTGAAACTTGAAAGGGTTGGACACAGGATTATTTTCCTTTTGAGTTAAAGATGAAGATGTTTCACCATAACAGAATTCCAGTTTGCCTATTTAACACCAACACTCTTCAAAACTCCTTCAAGGTGTAATTCTGGGAAAATTATTTATGCAACAGTATCATGCAATAAAATCCTCTTGGAGATCCCTTTATAAAGTCAGTGAAAATTCTTGGTCTTACCTCACTGTGTCATCCCAGTGAAACTTCTTTCTGGGTCCAACAACCCTCTTTCCAGGTTTCTCATCATCATCTTCCTCTGATCCATTTTTCTCTCGTTCATCTTCTGCTTGCAACCTACAGTTGGAACAATTATTTTATTTAGAACTATACTACACAAACAAAATATTTCATTAAAAAGGAGTGTCATTCTAGGTGTTGGGGGGAAAAACAACCTACAGAGGATCTATTTTCAGATTTTTGCTACACTTCCTTGTAGGATAAACAGTTTAATCTCCCTCTCCCCCACTGCTTTCTCATTCTCAGAGAAATGAAAAGGACACACTCTACAGATGCTTTCAATGATGTTCCTATAAGCTTAAGCAATGCCTCTACTGGGAACTGGCAGGGTACTTACCAAACTATGAACACCTTTCCAAGTCTAAAATTACTTAATTATGATTGAAACAATTACCATGAACAAGGACAAAATACATCAATAACCCCAACACACCATCCTCCTCCATTAATCCACCATGTTAGGTAATCAACCAGTAATCCTTCAGACTATTTTTTCTATCAAGACCTATCTCGCTCAGTTAATGGAATTTCTCTCTGACATCAGACAATAACACACAAAATTAAGTAATTTGCACAATTAAAGAAAGACACCCCTAAACTGGAGCTGAGTGATTTTCTGAACTAAGGAAGTAAACAACATGGATACAAACTTCCAGCTGGGTTCTAAATAGGCCTCCAGAATAACCTACTTGGCATTCTTGGCTTGACTGCGGGCCTGACAGTCCTCCTGATACTTGCATAACTGTTCAGGCATGACGTTACTGACAGCTAGCTTCAGCTTCTGCAATGGCTCTCTCAAGCGGTCATCCTGTGAAAAGAGGAGTACCAAAATAATCCTATTAGATGTAAAATAAAGAGCATTTCAGACAGTCTCATGAAAATTTCTGGATCACTCCCAAGGTAACATTCCCAGCACTATTTATGGACCACAACAGACATACTTCTACATGGCACTTGAATCCTGATAGGTGCAACAGCATTATATAAATGCATGTAAGTCTTGAGATGAGACACAACAAAAGACAGTCACAAATATACGTGCCATGAACATCCCAAAACATTATGGCATTATCTCTTTAAATAATGCTTTTAAATTAAAATAGGGAAGGGAAAAAAACTTAAGGAGGAAAAAGTGAAATAAACTGACCAATCAATATCTCAGCATTTGCAAATAAATAGCCTATTAATCAGGTCTCCAAAAACTGTGGTATAAAAACATCCTAGGTAATGAATAAAATATGAATATGTATTATATTATCCAAGTGGTAGATTGTTAGGACATGCAATTTATGTGCCTGAAAGGGCTATGTATTTAGAATGGTCTCCAAATATTAAGAATTTCAAACATTAAGGTAATACACTATACACTTCCCTATATGTTTTAAATTCACTTTCTACATCTTCTGACTTCACATTATTAATTTTAATTTCTTATTGAAAAGAACCAGAATATTCTTTTATGTTTATCTGCTTATAAATAATAGCATTTGAATCTGTTTGCCTTGTTAGCAAGCACTGAGATCTCTGCATTCATTTTCAGATCCTCTGGAAGATTTAGTCCTGGATTTTATCTAAAGAATCCGGTCAGGGTACTTCAGACCACAGATAACTTTTCTGTTCCACAGGAAAATAATCTTCAAAAGAAAAGTAACTGAAAATGGCATACAAAGTATTTGTAAGACCTAGCCACAAAAGGAAAATTGAACAAATAATACAGGCAGGGTCATCTATTATCCATATGGCCTTTCTTTTTTCTTGACACAAAAGTGAAAACAAAAGTACGTATTTTTAGCCTATCACAACCATTATTACTGTGGCTTTCTAATTCTGCTGCTTTGATATGTACCCTAAGACTACAGTAATACTTAGTGATGACAGCAGAAACACTCCTTAATAGCCTGCATCCAGCTTTCAAGATGAAAGCACTTCCTTCTCAACTAAAGACGCTGAAATACTTAAAATATTTGTTCCCAACCTAGTGACAATATCATGTATATGGAAAGAAGCTTTTCAACTTATCTAGCAACTGACCCAAAACATTTTTCTTGATTTGAGGCTGTGTGGCTACTGCTCTACTCTGCTGCAGCAAGGAGAACTGACTGTCATATAATTGCCTCCTACTGGAGCTGCTCTCCCCATCCTTACCTGGACATTGAGGTGTAACTTCTTCAGGCGCTTTATCAGCGTGTCCTTATTGCACGGCACGAAAGCCTCCAGGTGTGAGTAGACTCCATTGCGGATGGCAGGATTCACCTCCTGCAGCTGCAGCTCAATGCTGACAAACAACAGGAGTCAGTCAGACACACTCCAAGGTAAAGATGACTTCTGAACAAAAACCTAAGGAAGCTTTGGAAGCATAGCATATTCTAGCTATGCATATTAAAAATAGCGGCTTGAGATATTTTCAGATAAGCTTTTTTGTAAAAGGAAGAAGTCCTAATCAATGGCAAGAAACCATTCACATATGTAATTGTCCAGCAATGTTGAACATTCAAAAACATTAAAAAAATCAAATAATTCAAATTTAGTTTACACCCACCACTGTGAATCAAAATTGAGAGACTTTGTGATAGTCTTCTAGAGATTACTTTTGTTTCATAGATTATGAACACAGAACTTTCTGTATTAAACCCTTAATTGAAGATTACAGAGAAAAAAAATCTGGTGCTTGCCCTCATGAAAGGTGAAGGTCCTTTGAGTAACAAAATTGGGAGACAGGAGTAAATAAAGGCAATTTTGTTGAATTTTACACATGAAGTCAAGGACCAGGGCACTACAAAACATTTTACACTGGATAAAGACACACAGGCATGACAGGAATTGTACACATACATAAGTCTCTTTAGCTAATAACTAGCTTAGACTGATCTACCTTCATTGACTTTTAAGGGATTTGTTGGAACAACCTCAATAATACTTCCTCTTCTGTACTTTTCCTTTCACCCCCTTTCCAAAAAGGAAAGGTTCTACAGATAAGCACTTACTCCAGAAGAATATTATTCATGTCTTGTGTGAAAAACTTCTTCCTGCCTTCTTCATCAAACATCTTGGCAGCCTAAAAATACAAAAAAAAAAAGAAAAAAAAGCATTCAAGTTCACAGAGTATTTTGAACCAACAATCTTTGTATCTTTACTTTTACAGCCACATCATATTCTTGTTTCCCAGAAAACGTTACTTGGAAAAAAATAACGAAAACCAAGCTATTCTCAGCTGTTTAGAAAAAACTGAGGATTGTTACTGTTATATACAAATATACACACCTTGCTCTAGGGCAGACAATCATTCTGTTTAGGATCTGCCTGGACCACTGATGTTAACACATTCATCTTTTGAATAACCATTAAGAAAATTGTAGATGCTTTATCACCATCAACACCACCAACATTCTACTATCTCTGTTTTAAAAAGAGAAGCATTGTTTGACAGATCAAGAAGGCAAGAGCATTAACACATTTCTATTCCATCTTTTTCTACCTGTTATGTGCCTCACCCAGTTGCATCTTTCCAGCTTAGAGCTCTCGCAAACCTTCACTGCAATTTGTACAACAGGATTATATATGCTAGAGGAATACCTCATCCCTCTTTTCTGCTGCTGTCCAGCATTCTTGCCATCCTTAGACTGTATCTTTAGTATTTTGTCTGGTATTTTTGTCCTTTTTATCAGAAGTTTTTACTGATCTCCAGCAATTCCCATGCAGAATCCCTTTATCTTTGTTCTTATCACCTAGATCCATTTTTTTTCTCCACAAGGAATGACAGCTTATAGGACAAAGCCAATTCCCTTTACCATTTTACAAAAATCAGTAAAAACCTTTCTCTAGTGTATATCTACTCTGCAGAAATTCAGAAGTTGAGAAAAAAGAGCCCTTAAAAACATCCACAGAGTACTGACTTGCAACAATGTAGCTAAACACTTCAAGTAAGTCCAAGTGTTAACATGATTAAATTAATTTATCACTAATACTTACTGTTCTTGCTATCTTTAACTGACCCATTTAAATTTGAAAGAAAAGTGTTTTCCAAAAATTGTGAACTCTACCTCTCTTCCTGTGTGAACTGCACAGGAAAAGAGTGTGACATTCAAAGGTGTAAGGTAGCCCATTGTCTGAGTGGTTCATCACTTCAGTCATGAACACTGATACTGGAGCTTAAGTTCCTGCAAGGACTGCATTTCACTGATTGCTTTCTACCATAAATACAGCGGCTGAGGGGATGGGACTATCTGTTTAAGAACACTGAAGCATTTGTCCTGCTAAAAAAATTAGAAAGGTTACTGATGCCTTCAAGTGATAGGGTACCAAAAAGACAATTCAGAAAGTCTTAAATCCGGGACCTTTACGCTTAATTAACACAAGGATTAGAGTCATCATCTGGTTTATATAACGCAGAAGGAAAAAGCTTTGACATTTTAGTCCCAGGTAGACCTTGAAAGGCAATTCCAGCATTATACTATTATGCTGGACAGCACTGCAGGCTTTTAAGGACAGCAACACCAGCACATTCAAAACTTCATCACTATTACTAACTACGGTTGGGTTTTATTTCCAGAGTGCTTATCTTGACAGTGACCTTAAAAATAGAGGAAAAACCTCTTTTATTTACTTTCCTGCCTGTATACAATATTGCCTTTTGTCAGGGTAGTACAGAATAACCCACTCAGGGAACTATAACACATGAATCTACCAAAGGAGGTCAGGAAGTTTTTATTGCCTTTAGAGAGTGGCTTTCCAATCTTATTATTTTTTTAAATTTTGATATATTGTACTGCATCCTTGGACCGTAGGCTTCTTCCTACAGCTTTGTAAACTTTTCTTTGTGCTAAAGAGATCTAAAGCTTCAAGAGTCTGGCAAATATTTGACAAGACTTTCATTTTTAGTGCTTTTTAGATGTCTGATTGCAATTTACAGGAGGCATGGAAGTTGCAATCTTTAAGTCAACATACAGTCTAGCTGCTCCCCAAGTATAAACTTAAACTTCCTCTGCTTTGCCAGGAATCTTTCAGAACACATTGTCAAAAATGGAAGAGTTCCCAGCTGGTCTAGAGGAAGGTGTCCCTGCTCACAGCAGGGGGATTGGAGTGGATGATCTTAAAGGGCCCTTCCAACCCAAACCATTTTATGGTTCTATCAGGAGTTATGTTTTCTAACAGCCACTGAATTAAAAATGCCTCCCAACTGGTTTGAAATTGTAATACAGAGAAGCAACATGAATTAACTTGGGGTAGGTCACTAACACTTCCTGAATTTTGGCCTAATCCATTTCTGCACTTTTGCTAGAAGCTTTTTGTTGATTCATAGCAAAATTAACCTGCATACTGAGAGGTAGACAGAAGCTCCTTCACTTCAGTAAATATTAATTCCTTGGCTGTATTTAGCTTGGTATGTTTAAAAATAAATAAGAAAACTAGAAGACATTTCTATAGAGGTAAGAGCAAAGCAAACTCTGGAATTGTTTAAATTATTTTTTGTCCAAAAAAGGAAGTATGTTTTGAAAAAGCAGTCAACTATGAGTAAAGAAAAGCTGCACTTTATTCTAAGTAAGGAAAAGCTGCACTTTATTCTAAGTAAGGAAAAGCTTCAATATAATAATCTGAACAAGCAACAAATTTATTCTCAACTTAGGACAACATCCATAACTGAAACAAGGAGTATGTAATACCTTAATATTTCTGATCCCTTTCAATAACTTACTGGAATATTTTTAACTTGTTAATTTAACATCTTTCATCCCATTTTTGAGAACTTCAGATTTCATTCTAACCTCCCAGAAGAAAAAGTTCAGTTTTGTGGTTGGTTGGTTTTTTTTTTGTAGTTGGGTGGTGGTTTCTGGTTTTGGTGGCTTTTTTTACTTGAGTTGGTTTTTTTTTTTGTTTTCGGGTTGTTTTTTTTTTTTTTAACTGGCAAGTTAAAGCCAAAAAATCTGGATCCAAAATACATGGATTTGTAAGCTGCAGTCATATTTCAGGTAACCTCCTCCAATGTAAGAAAACACCCATTCATTCCATTTTATCAAATAATAATTCAAGTTAAAATAACACTGGTATTTCCATTATGGAGAAAACCCCATAAATAAATGAGAATTACAAGTTATTGTACATAAAAGATTTAGAAAACCCAGTTTCCAATGTGAAACAAACACTGCTAAAACAATTGACCTGCATCATCTCTGCCTGTTTTCATCTGAGTATAAACACAACCTTCAAGATTGCCATTAACATCAGTTCTTCATTTCTAAAGTTTCAGCCAGCAATTCAAGGATGACACTCAAGGTCCTAATTGTTCTTCCTTGTTCTCTCAGATTCTTGAATGCAATCCACTACCAGCGAATTCATACTTACTGTTCGAAGGTCTCCAATGCGCTTTTCAAGTAGCACAGGCAGACCTTCAGGGAGGGCAGGCACCTGCTTGGGTGTCATGACCTGAGAGGTGTAGGTTGCCTGAGAGACATTTCCATTCTCTCCTGACAGCTCAGAGACCGGGCTGCCATCAGAAGTGCCATCGAGCAACTTGTCAAAGTCAATGTCCCCCAACATCTCCAGGGCACTTTCAGTTTCTTGCAGGAGCTCAGGTTCATTTGTGCTACCAAAAATGGAGAGGACAGGATCATTGATCCTAAGATTCAAGTCAGAGATATCATTTCCTGCACTGAGAGAGGAAGAAGGAATTTTACTAGGGGTAGAGGTTGCAACAGTCACTGGAGGTTTTGGACTAGGTTCCTTCTTCCTCATGGCTTCCTTCTCCTTTTGAAATTTACGGATCATGGCAGCCAGAGAGAGTGAGTCTTTATACAATTTCTTTTTCTTCTTCTCAGACTTGTGTGAATTTAAGGCCATTACTCTGTAGAGGAAAGAAATCTTTCATTAGCATGTGACTTCTGAGGCCTCAGTAACCTTTAACAAGACAACTCAAAGTTTAGTACAATTAAAATTTATCGGGGGGAAGAAGTACTTCCTGCTTCCATCTTCAGAACATTTTATCAATTACCATAAACCTTAGGTCATGTGATTACATGTTCTCTAACTGATCTGTTACATTTTATATACATTAAGGCAAAGGTTACTTCATTTTGACTTCTCAATTTAATTAAGGAGAAGTTGGCACAAGTGTTAAAACTCACAGCAGATTTACAGTACTAAAATACTTAAATTTGCCTCTCAATACTGCTGAATGGTGGCAGGTTGCCTGTACAGCATGTATGTTAAAAAAATTCCTTTCATTGCTAAAAATTTTTAAATGCAGGCTCAAAATCTATATTTTTTTAAACTGAGAACATTCCACCAATTTTTCACCTTGATGAAAAATTAAGTCAATAAATTTTCAATATTCAATGAGAATATTCACAGTAAGACAGCCTCCATCCACTCAGCAATAGCTTTCTAGCTGTCACCTAATCTAGCCCCACCACCTCAATCTTTCTATGCTGGCCTCAGAACTGAGGAAAGCACAAAGTCAGTAAGAAATACATAGAAGAATAATTAACCTGTATTTACAGCTTTACAGATGAGAAACAAAGAGATAAGAAAAACATTATTTTTCAATAGAAGATGCAATTCCTAGTGCTAGCTTAGATGCTGGGTAGGACAATGACACTTTATGCTATTCATAATACTCAAAATTTATTTTCTGTGATTTGTCTTTCCTTATCCCTGGTGCAAAGTCTCAGGGGAAAAAATTTAGCCTGTAGGACTGAGTAATATAAAAACCCCACACAAATTCTGGAACAAAATCTATAAGCTATTAATTACAGTTTAAAAGTACAATATTCAAAAGAGCTGTAATGATCTTGCTATGGCACACAGCCTCAAAGCCAAACCTCAAATATAATTGAAGGGTTCTAATGAAGAAAAATAAACCCACCCCAACTGCTTAGGAACTTTCATTTTCCGAGGCTTCTTCTCCTTCTCTGTCCCTTCATCTTTTCGCTTGCGTTTCTTCACTCCACGATCTTCACTTTCTTTCAACTTTGCTATCTAGAAAAGAGATCAAATAAAGGACAATGGTTCTCCCACCCTAAAGGACTTCTACAGCAAGAAACATTAAGTTTTCTTTACACTTTCCAATTCAGAGCCAGGAAAAACATATTAATGTGTGTAAAAGCAAATGGTACCACAGATTCCTAGCAACAGTTTCAGTTACTGACAAGTGTTAATCATAAATCCTTTCTAAACAGTTATGAAATTTAGAGTTTTCAGTAATATAAATACACTAAGGTAAATGCAGAGTGCTGCCCAGCCAGTATGGCCAATGGCTACCTTGGAAGATGGAATTCCAGCACCTTCTTCTGCTACCAGAGTTCCACTGCTGACCATGAAGCTGACCACTATGAAATATCTTTGCTGGTCAATACAGACCATCTGTCTCCCTTCCCTTGCCCATCCTTAGATTATCTGAGGGTGCAGGGCAGGGAAACAAAGCCTTCAGACTGTGCAAGCATCAGCCAGCAACAGGCAAACTTCTGGTGTAGTCATCAACACTGTTTTAGTCACAAATCAAAAACATATCATCGTACAGGCTGCTAGAAAGAACATTATCTGCATCACAGTGAGAGTCAGTACCTTAAAATTAAGTGCTATAGAGCAGAAAAAGACACCAGCAAGCACTAAGTTCTCAGAAATAGCATTCAACTTGTAAATGTCAAATTGCAATTATGTTTGCATTGACTGTAACTTGTCAAAGTTTATAGAACAGCATGCTGTTCGGAAAGATTTGTGTATATAATTTTAATATAGCTATTCTTATTAACTGAATTTATTTTAACAGGTATTTTGGTTTAAAATATGGTTTATTGGTAAATATGTTTAAATTTGGTTTACAATTCTCAATATTAGGAACAATTTCATATCATGCAAACTTTGTGCAAAAATTAAGAAGAGTAGTGATGAATTTAAAGTCTCATCTTGTATAATAAAATGCTTACAAAATTACAGAATAATCTGTCAGTTCAAGATGGGTGGACACAACTTGTCAGGCTGCCTAAAAAGATGCTTAGTCTTACAAGACTGAATAGCCTGTGGACATCCTGAGTTAGTTACTGAATGCTAATATATGAGCCACAAAACAAAATGCAATAAAAAGCAGTACCACGCATCATTCTGCTTTTGGACTCTTCATCTGAGCCATTCTAAGTATATCAAATACTTCCAATGTCCACCTAGCTTTTATTTCTGTAAAAAGGCCTTAATTAAAATCACTCACTTTAGGTGGCCTATGCTTTTTGTCTTCTGCAAAGTCTTCATCCTCTGATTCAGATGCCTGGCGAAACTGCAGTGTACCAGTGTTGATATAAAACCCTCCATATTTGGTTGTCAGGGATGCAGGAACCAATTCATCATACTGGGCAGGAAAAGGAAGATGAATTTATCAGCATTTCTTAATAAACTAAACATGTATTTCATTCACCAGTCCCTATACATAAAAATATATATACCAATTCACAGCACAGCTTGCTAGAATAGAAACAGGAGAGCAATTTTATAGAAAATTAACTGGTTGAAGCAGAGAACATTAATAGAACAGAGTGTCCTTTCAACACAATGCTCTTTTCTTAACAAAAAGGCAGCATTACAGCATTAAAACTGCTGCTTTCTCAAGGCAGCTCACCACAGTGCCCTGCTCAAAACCCTAATTCTTTTTAAAAGTTCTCCAAAATCTTATTTTGTTAAAAATGCTATCCCAGACATAACAAACTTCACCACAGTAACTGTTACCTTATTTTCAATTTTAGATGTTTAATACAACATTGCCTCTTAAACAACTATCACAATGCCAGGACTTTTTTAATTTGAAGGCAAACATTCTCACTTTGTTCAGACAATTTTAATGTTTCAAACTATCAATAGTTTATTTTGAAAAGTATTTAGTATTTATGAAGAAATTTCCAAGTTAGAACCATAAAGCGGAATCTAAAAAATACAAAAATCCAAAGACATAGAAAAAGTGATCAATAATCAGTATAGTGGATGACAATATTAATTCTATTATTACATGCAACCAGCAACCTCCATGCCATGTAAAATATACTGAAAATAAAATGGTTTAAGAACTGAAGACTAGGCTACCAAAGACTTTTAGACAGGAAGAAGAGTTATCCAGGAAAGTATAACAGTAAATATGTACTTTAACAAGGAAGCTGGAAAAAGAGCCTGAACTGGAGTCCTACCCAGGGATTTAATCTGATTAAGTAGTTAGAAACTTCCCTGACTCATCACCTTTTATCTTCCTGGAACACAGAACTTAACGAGCAGTACAGAAAGACAAAATAGGAAAAGTGGTGACAGCACTTATCAAGTACCCTAAGATGATCTGAAAAGCTAGCACAAGAAAGTGAGAGAATCTATTAATGGAACAAAATGAAAGTGAAGTGGCTTAATAGTGGACTTGTCATTCATCTTAAAAGACCAGGAGAACCATGCAGAGAAAACTTGAGAGTGGAGGTTGTGTAGGAATTTCAGAGAAAATTCATGCTTTTTCCACAGCTCTCAGAATCAGCTTCATTAAGTGCACAGCAAATAAAAGCAGAGAAAAGCAATTATTATCCACACTGTTTAACAGACACAGCAGACATTTCCCATTTGAGCTGAGAGGGTGTGAACTGAATTAGCAAGGGTGGGGCAGAAAAAGATCAAAACTGAAGAACACAGTGGTTGCCAGGTTAGAAGGAAAAAGCACACAGTCAAAGCTGGGACCATTATCATAGGAAGCAAAAGCCAACACAGTAAAGACTGAGATACAGAGCAGTACAGGAAAGCCTGGGTAACACACAAGTAAGGATTAAAGAGAATTCACAAATGAGGAATCATGAATCACATGAATCACAGCAAATTATCTGGATGATCAACATGCTGTGTGGCACAGATCCACTGGAACAAGGCAACAAGAAAGGCAGAATTCATTTAATATACAGAGTGAACGTATTCCATAATAGTCAACAGGCAAGTAAGATCAGCACAATGTGGATGTATAACTAAGCAGCTGTTTCAGCAGCTTCTGTTGAGTACTATGAATTTAATCAGACCTTCAAAGACCCTTCTGATATTCAGGTCCTCTTAACCTTCGACTAAGACTATTTTTCTTTAACCAAAATCTGTTTTTACCCTGAACCTACTGAACAAGGTATAACTTTTAACTCAATGCTGTATTTTAGACATAGGAGCCTGCAGACCAAGTGTAGCTATTGTACACCCCCCTCTGAGCTAAGCTTACTATTTTCTAGTGCCCTAACTAAACAGAAAATGAGTATGTTTGCATAAGGTATTAGTAACAGAGATTAAGCTTCATTTTCAAGTGCTTCCAGAACTCTCAGTTAAAGGGAACATGGCTCTTGAAAATTCTAAATCTTACTGTTTTCAAGACCTTTGCTTTAAACTAGTTTTTCTGTTGAAATCACACAATTTATCTTATGAACAAAAATAAGTTTAAAGCCCTTTACAGTGTTCTGCTCTTCCTTACACATTTCAAGGGTGAGAATCAAAAAATCTCAGACCTACAGAGACAGGACTTGACTGACTCCTGTGAGCACGGGTTTGTCCTACAACTGATTATGGAATCATCCTGCAGATAAAATTAAGACTGATAACTGTCTGACCATCTAAAAAGCAGGTTCATATGTAAGTTATTTTAAACTATTGCCCTTGAGCTACATTCCTATGCTTTTAGTGCTATTAATCTAGTTAAATGTTTTGGTATGAAAAATAATTTAGTTTTATAAAAAATAAGTTAATTGGTTTCAACTTCATCACTATACCAAGAACAGTGAATTTTTATGGATTATACCAATTTAGTTCTGAAATCCAGACCCACAGCAGTATCTTATATTAAATTGTCTACTCTTGAGTCCAGATATTTTGACCACAATCCTCAGATATTCTACTGTGATCCTTCTCCTCATTCACCTCCCTTCCAGACAATAACTTCCAAAAGTACACATGTAAAAAAGTTTTTAAACACTTCTGTACTAAGTCTTGGAAATGAGATTTGGTGGAAACATGTCCAAATGGTTTAACAAATGTAGCTTGTTATTATTTGTTGTACAATAGGTAATAATTAGCTAAAAGATAAGCAGGGATAATTTCTGGACCTTGCTTAGTTTATTTTTGAGGTAGGTCTAACCAGCTTGGGGTGGAAGGAACTGTTTCATTGATACTGATCATCAGTTGCCCACTAAATAAAGGCCAAGTTATTGATGTACAATACAGCTCCTCCAGTGAGATGGACTAAACGTCTCCACACTTCACTACACACTTCAGATACTTCAAAAATACAGAGTTGATTGATCTCTATGCTTCTTCAAGATGCAAAGAACTGAAATGCACTCTTTGGCTTTAGCATCCTTTAAGGCTGAGTTTTCAAAAAACTACATAAGTATCTTTCCAAAAACTACAGTATAATAGAACCTACAAAGAAATCTTGAACAAGGTTAAGGGGAAGTAATGCATTGCTTTGCTAATCCAAGGAGACATCAAAAAGCAAGCACAAAGAGCTTTCCTGTGATAAAGAAGGTTTCTCTTCCAAAATGCACAGGTAAATTGGCAGGTTGGTTTGTTTTTCTTTTAACTCTGGGGAAAAGGACAGCTGGCACAAAAGAAAAAAGCATAAGAGATTATGGAAGATATAATATCTAGCCCAGGGTAGTCTCATTGGAGTATCCTAGTTTAGTAGTCAAGATATCATAATCCATCAGCCTACCTGAGCACCTTGAGAGAAGTACCAATACACACCTACTCTCCTGTTTTGTTCCCATCTCAACCAACACCTTTATACCTTTCCACCAGCCATCAGAGCTATGCTATTAGCTTAAGTGACCTTCACTTCAGAGATTACATTCTTCTCACCTTGAACACATCTCAGCCAAAGTTACAAAATGTATGACCAGCCATGTGACCACTTTGATCTGTGCAACTCAATTCTTTCAGAGCTTGAGCTCTGACCTGACCCACAATGAAAATCTAGTTCAGTGTTAAATAATTATATAACATATTACTTAATCTCTCCAGGTTTAATGTTACAGAACTACCAGAAGGTTCTACAGAAAAGAACTTATACTTTCCTTTTCCCCTCATTTAACACAAAGAGCAGATTTTCCATATATGACACTTAAGACAAATGCTCTTATCAAAGATCTGTTATTCTGGCATGTTATAAACCTCCCTTTGTATAACATTAGTAATCATATTGTTTGTGTATTTTTTGGGAAACACTTAGGTTCATTGTACTGCTTAAACAAATTCATCTACATAAGTAGCTGATCCTAGGCTATGTTCTACCCCTCTAGTAGCTCAGATTACTTTGAAAATTGATTTTGTGCTCTTCAAAAAATTAAGTCTAGCAAAATACAGGATGCTGCTACAACCATATAATTTCCTTCTCCTACAAATTTAAAGAGTGGTTCTACACAGGCCAGATACAAGTCTCAGGTGATTTCAAGAACCTATGCAGGTGCTGAATTTTCAGTTCATTCAGTTTATTCTTATTCCTTTCTAAAGAAGGGTATGCCTTTTTGCAGAAGGAACACAAAAGCATTATTACTGCTTCAACAAACACCAGATGTGTTCTGCAAATTCAACTACCTTTGCTCCTCTAGCCATTTTGGTTCTTGTACCTGCTTAGTTCTTGCATCTGTATCTATTGGTTTGATACTCCCCTTTATACCTAGATGTATTTTGGGGTGAGGAGGATAAAAAGCAAAGAATCTCCATGTTGAAGCTTGTCCTTGTACTCACTGGAAGGCACAGGATATGTTGGGGGCTAGCTGGCAGGTGTCCCCTGAAGACACGCGGGAAGCGCGCATGGCGCGTTATTGAAGGTGACACCGCACACTGGGCTAAGGGAGCACCATTCCCAAAACACACAACTTCCAAGCCTGGGCAAAGTGACAGTGAACAAGGAAGACAGTACGAATACAAACACACCAATCCAGAGGCAGTAAGACACTTGGAAAGTGAACCTCTTAAAAACAGAAGCTTTAATGCACCCTCCTGTATTCAGCATGGATGAGGTCTGTGACTGAGGTCTACAAAGGCAGCCTTTTCCAGATGAAAAATGCCAGTGTCCAACTTCTCTCAATACACCATGAAAGTATTTTTAATAATGGAACCTATGGAGTGTTTTTCTGTAAATGCCTCTAACATTTGCAGGTTGATAGCTTGGTTGTTTTGTTAGAATTTTTTAAGAGACTGTCATCTTTTTAAAACAACAACAATCCTTTCCATTGTTAGCATAAAACAAGTTCCTTAGCGTAGGAAGAATGAAAGAACAGTACCAAGTTGGCCTGAAACTACATCTGGCCCAGAACCTCACAAAAATGGTAAAAATTTCCATTAACACACTGAGCTGCTATTCCCTGAATAGATACTGTTCTTGCTGGGAAAAAGTTTCTAAGATATTCAAAAGTTTTGTCCAAGATAACTTACTGATAACACATCAGCTTCAAGTTTTAGGGGCAAGCCAGGGTAGGAGAGAAGAGGATATTAAATCTATCATACCTTTTTAAGTTTGGAGAACACAAGATGAGGACAAATTTATTGTAGAAACACGTGAAAACTGTGTTTCATGACAAGGAATTTTTCCAGAGACCAAGCCCTTAAATTATGGAAGGTATTCTAGGGAGCCCAGATAGAAACAAAGCAATGCTTTTAACTGTGTCCAGAATTACTAAAACCAACACAAAACCTTTGACAGGTTTTCTTTAAAGATGATCTGAGCTCTTGAGGCAAGATGTATCTAAAGAAAAAGTAAGATCTTCCTTTTAGCTGAAGTACTGTTTTGGAGAATGAAAATCCAGGTATGAGAAACCATTGATACACTGGTTTTCTCTAGCAGCCAGCACAGGACTTTTTACAGCAGTGTTTAGAGGGCTACTATGGAACTATGAATATAACAGACTAGGTCAAATATTTACACAGGGGCCTGGGTGTCTGAAGAACTGAACTGCCTGCTTCCCACTGCTCTTGGCATTCACATTTAACTTCAATTCCTGCCGGTGTAGCTATCTAGTACCACTGCTTCAAAAGACACTGCTTATAGATTTGTAGGTCAATAGTTCTTTTTCTACATTCATCTACTTGAAATGAGGGAAGTCTTTGGTTTGGATATCCAAGCCTTGTTACCTTCAAGTAAGAGAAAACAGCATACACTTTCATTAACACTATGCATTATTTTAAATTCTCTCTTCTGTATTGCATAACAGAAAGCTCAGAAAGCACTGTGTTCCCTTGCAAGTCTCTACCTATATAAAGCTTACATTGCCAGGAAAATATTCAACCAACCAAATAATCAGAGGTCATCACAAGAGCAAGTAATCAGCCTGATCTGGCTGGACATGCATGTGTGTGCAGGAAAAACAGAGTGGGTGAAAAATTCTACAGGAATTCCACTTCATAAAGAATGTAGTTCTGGGCAGCTTACACTACAGCAAAACCTATTTTCAACATCAAAGCAGTGGAAACACTGAGGAGGGGCAGCTTTCTTCACAGGTTGTGGACATTTTGTATAGGTCCATTAAGATAAGCAAAGATTAGGACTTGCCATCAGGCTAACCCCTATAGAGGGGTTAGAAACAATAGTAGGTCACTTGTGATTTTCTTTTTTTACTGGAATAATGACAATCCACTGACTACAGTGAAAATGCTCAACTCAAGAATAGCTGCTCACACAGATTTCCTGCTTGCCTGCAAATGCATTTACCTCAAAATCTGTTTTTAAAAGGAAAGTATCTCTAAAGCTATGGAATAAATCTGTTTCAGTGCCAAAGAGCTCAGTATTTCTTTCACAACTATGATAAAAAAAAAAAAGGACTAAAATTCTGAGGAAGCTTTCAAATTTTTTTTCTGGGATAGAGACAAGCTAATCCTGGAGCAATTAAAGAGGCACTCATATTCACTTTTCAAGTGTTTGTGCCCAGGATATTATAGCTTTTTATGTGTAAGAAAGTGTGTCTTCTAAGAAGTAGTCCAGGGCCTGGCTCTAACACATCTCAGGGTACACAGCAATTTCATAGCTGGCCATACAAAAGATGAGCATGCCAGACATATGGAATTTCTTTCTGAACACTTCTCTTGTATCCAAGGCAGAATGATGGAATTAGAGGTTTTGTTGAACTTCAACTCCTACATTACAGAACCCTTAAGCTCTGCAACAACAACATGGACTGCAGCTGGCCCACTATATTTTTTTTCTTTTCTATATAAAAATGGGGATAAAAGCAAAACAAAGATGGTTTCTCACTAGTCTGTATTTGTAAGGCAGACATGAGGCGTAATGATTTTTTGAGGAGAGCAATCTTTAGAGAATATACCATTTCTCCCCAACAGCTTCTACAGCTAGCACATGATGCAACCATCTGGTCCTCCAACAACTGCCTTTTGTACATTTTGCAAGGACTCTGGCAAGAGACAGAAGTAAATGCTCCTGCAACTCTACCAGATCTGCTGCTGGTATCACCACCAGCGCTGGAAGGAGGCACAGTATGCTAAGAATACACCAGACTCGTACTTTGACAGAGACCTGTGTTGTGAGTGCTGCCAGTGTTCCAAATCTCCTATCAGATCTGTGATAGGTCACAGGGAATCCAGGAAAACCTAGCTAGAACTTGTGTTGGGTACCATTACATTTTAAAAGCAAAGATGATGAACTTAAGCAACAGTGAGAAACCAGATTAACCTATAGGCTCAAGTGGTTTCTCAGCAGAAATGAAGCACATGTGTTCCTTCCAAGCTGGAGAGCTAAATCTGACCTTTGGAAAAGACATATGAAGGCTTAGACCCCAATACTGCTCCAGCAGTACAACCAGAAGTTGTGGGATAATGATAAAACAGTTTAATATTGGCAGGTTCAAGTTTCTAGACAATGGAAAATTACTAACAAATTACAATGAGCACTTGACAGCAAGGTCTCTCTCTCCACACAACTTCAGACCCGCTTCAAAAACTACCAATGCACACAGATAAGCTCAGCCTGCTATGCACTGTGATTTACTGCTCAATTTCTGCTGAAAAAATTATCGGCTCTGCAGACACTTTCTGTGTACCCCACACAGGTCATAGGATCACTCATTGCAACATTTATGTGCTAGAAACTTCACAGCTCAGTTTACAGTTCTTTTCTGTAAAGTTTTAGATTTTAAATGAAGGCTTGACATAATGTATGCTAAGCACTGCACTTATGTGCTTTTCTTACTCTTTTCTCTCAACTCCTTTCCATAATCTTTCCTCTCCCACTCAATTCTAGCCCACTTCTTCTCACAGCAGATCACTGCCGTTTTGTCCAGTGTCACTCAGCACTAGAGGAAACTGAAGGCTGGCAAGTGACAGCTCTTACTTTTGGTTTTTTTACTTGACTAAACTGTACACATACTTCTTTCTGACATTTAATAAGGAAGAATTATAGGAGGCTTCTGAGCTTTTAGATAATCCACTTTTTTCCCCAGGCTTTTTTTCTCATTTGTGTAATTTCATATATCACCTCCAAGATATCTTCAAAAGCCCTCTTCTAAACCTTCTGATATCCCTGATACTGCCTGAACCAAACTAATACCTTTTTCTTTTACTTGAAGATGTGTTTTCATGTCTAAAAAATATTCAGACAAAGCAAGCAGTAATATCCTGCTGTTTAACCTGTTTTGTCTCAATTTTTTCAGACATATTCAATGTTTAAATAACCATCCTATTTTTACTGGTTTTTAGGAGGAGAATAGCCTCGTGATCTAAAGCAGGAAATCTAATGCCAGTAACCCACTAATAATCCAGAGAGCTAGTACAAGAAACTAAATAGAGCAAGTGTCATTTCAGTCAACAGTAAATGAAGCACACAAAAATACTTTGATTTCTAAAGCCAGAAAATTATTTGATCTAGGAATAGCTTTCTTAATTCTTTGGTGCACAATATCTTGAGTAAGACTACAAATACAGTAATTCAGCGGTCTCCCAAAGCAGTATGGCCTTTGCATTCACAACAGGTACAAAGTATTTCCCCTTACCTTTGTTCTGTAGTGAAAAGGTAAAGCACTGCCTGGTGGCTTCCTGCTGCTGTGGTGAGGGTTACTTACCGCTTCAGAGTTATCAATGAAAGGGTCCGTCTCGTCGTAGCCGTAGCCGATGTCGATCAGATCCTGCAGGCGATCTTTCCGATGCTTGTGGGTCTTGCCACCCTGAAGACAGAGCAAGTGTTACACCACTTGGGAAACATGAAAGCAGTGCTCTAAAGCCTACAAAGCATAAGGCATTGGAGGAATAGTCATTCAAGGAATTAGCAGTTTTGCTTTCTTGAAGATGGTCTAGATGGCTGATGAAAACTTCCACAGAGATGCATTCTGGCAAATGTGCCTCACCAGAATCACCCCTGAAAGGCAGCCACTAGCTACCTTTTTCTGCAAGACCAAGATCTTCCTAACATTTCTTATTTAGAGAGGTTTTCCTGTCCTATATATATTGTATATAGTGACTGGACTGCTAATGATAGAAGGGTTGGGATAATTTAGAGAGTGTTAAGTTTTTCAGTGTCATAATACAGTGTCATTACAAGGGAAAATAATGATAGCTTAGAATTCATTAAAGTGTTTTCCTACACAAGATGGATTAATTCTCTATTGCACATAAAAAGTTGAGTTTTAAAAAACATAAAATGTTACTTGAGTATTAAAACCAGAAGCTGCATTACAAACTATGGATGGATTAACTCAGCTCCAGGAGCTAGTAAAATTGATTTTAATCTGCAAGTATTCTTTTCATGTGGAAATTTAATTGTTAAGTCAAATAAAGACTCACAGCTAGCTCAAATATTCAGGAAATCTAAATTTAAAAACTTAAGGTTACACAAAAATCTTCTTAGGATATAAGGCCTAGTTTTCTTGCTCATATATATTGTCAAAATAATCAATAAAAGTCTTAAAATATCAAAATCACAAGAAAGCTCTGCCTTCATTTAAATGGTAACTTCCATGAATTCAAGACTTGCTCCTGACACTTCTCTGCCTGCACCCTACAGCTCTGAGCATTCTTAGAGTCGGTCAGTCTTTCTAGGTGTGACATCCAAATATCGCAGTCCATTGGTTACCATGAGAATGCAGCCACTGCCCAAAGGCGGTTTCACCCCTGCACGTTTATCAGTGGTGTAAGCATCTCAACACCTCCATTTTAACAAGATTTTGAGAACATGCAAGTTTGTCACAAAGTAAAGCACGTGCTCTTGCAAGCAAACAGTGTATCTCTCACATATACTTAAACAAATGCAATAGTCCTAGGAGAAAAACCTCAAAAGTAAGTTCAGCTTTTAATTCACATTTCCAAACTACATTCCAAACTAAGTATTCCTGTCATCTCCTACAATCACTCATCTGGAAAAACATCTGAATGACTGCAAAGTCCCAAAACATACAGTACTTTTTTTCTAAAAAAAGAAAGTTTACATTAGATAGATGAGAGAAGAAAAAGTAAGTTAGAAAAAGGCAGCACTTAAGAATTCTGATTGAACTCCAGTGCAAAAGCTTATATAATTCATGATTCTGACTCAGGTGCCAGCAGGCTAAGAATGCTTCATAAACCATATCTCACCTGTACTGAACTCACTAATGTGTAATGCAATCCATCTCTGTACTACATATATCTTGCTAGTAACCATCAACATCCTTGTTTGCAAGTCTCAAATCTTTTTGCAGCAATGGTTATCTTATGATTCTATGATTTCAGTATAATAAAAAGGCAATAAAAAAAATTAAATTTCCAATACATTCTGACTGTCAGAAAACCAGATAAAGAACAAAGTAGCAACAACAAAAAAAAGTCTTAAAATAGCTGAATGAACAAAAGCAGTCTTAAAATACAACCTGCATTCAGACATATGAAAATATCTGAACCACTGTGTGTAATTAAGAGATCTTCCTTCAGGCCTGGCTCTACCCAGTTCTGTTTAAGGATCTGTGTTGAGACTTCACATGATCAAGATGTTAAGGACGCAAGAGTGCAGCAGAAGAATGAAGGGATTATCTGTGTCAGTGTCCACCATGCAGCACTTCAGGGAACTTTTATGACTGCAGCTTTCCTCCAACCTTTTTGTCCTAGAATATACGTAGTCACAATACTAGAGCAAATTAAGGTGCCTGGCTCCTGAAGCTGCAAATACTATTCATGCAAGTATTCAGAAAAGCCAAAGATGACTAAGATATTAACTGTGTCATTAAACCTTGCATTTAATAACCTTTGCCCAAAAGGACTAGAAGGTAGGTGGTAAAAAAAAATGCCAATACCTGAAGGATCTTGAAGAGAAGAATTTATAAACCAGTAAACCTGGTCTTTAAGGTGGATATGTTAATAAAAGCTATCAACAACAGAACCCAGGCACAAGAATATACAGAGCAGGAAGAAATGCTGGTAGAAGAAAGCATTTCAAATGCTTTAGAAGTGTTTCAAACATCTTTAAAAACAAGAAACTCTCACTAGATAAGGAAGGTCCACTTAAACTGATGTCTGATCTACAGCTGGGAAAGAAAAGGTAAGAATAGGTATCTCATTTTAGCAAAGAATGATCAGCAAAATTATTATGGAATATGCATTCATTCCTTTAGAAGCAACAGAGCAGGTGAAGAGTTGGGAAGGACAGGGGTCTAAGATGACAATTTACTGAGGAAAGTAAAGCAAAATGAAAACAACTGAAGAATCACTTAAGACCTTACAGTTGCTCTGAATTTAGTATGATAAATAGGCAGTTAAATTCAGCATCAATAGAGCAAGGTAAGCCACATAATGTAAGTACAACCTAAGCAAAAAACCTACAAAAACAAACAGCATGCTGCAAATTTGTTATGCTGCTCAGGAACCACTGGAGTTGCAAGGCACAGGTCAGACATTTGCTTAATCAATAATGATCAAAAAAATGAATTGGGACTTAAAAAAAATGGAACAGAGAACCAAACCAGAAATCATCATTATAACACTGAAATATCAGGCATCATACCATTAATATCCTTTCATTAAAAAAAAAACAAACCACAATTAGAACAAAAAAGAGAACAGTAAGCCAACAAGGACGTTTAAAGACAAAAAACACCAATGTTAAGATACCACAGCTGGAGAACTAAAGGGCTGGATTTAGATGAGAACATCAAAATCACATGCAATGAGCAGAAGAACTGGAAGTGTTTCTCTGTTTCTTACAATACAGAAACTACGGAACACTACCAGATCTCATCAGGTTTAAACACAGCACGTTTTTATAGGACAGTCACCATGATACTCCAGTGCTGTGGAACACAGAAATACCGTCACAATCTGGTAGATTTCTGGCAGAAAGCTTTAAAAAGAGTAAACATGTGACCTTTGGCTTTGAGAGAAATTAAGATACAACACAGGCTGCCAGACAGGCACAGTGCAGTAATATCAATGAACACTTGCTCTATTATACTTTCAAGTATGAGATTCCACTAGTGTCAGAGACTAGGCTACCATCCAGTAGATGGATCTTCATTTTGATCCAAGAAAAGCTCTTACATACATACAATACTGTCCAAGGTTCAGTATGTGTTCACAACAGTGTTTGATTTTATCTAGAGAGTAACAGCAATCAAAACAATGAAAATGGGAACCCTTCAGAGCAGATTTTTCATGCTGATGTTTAGTATGTGCAGCAATTACAGGAGAGTTCTGAATAATCAGGTAAAAAAATGGTACTTCATGCATTTTGTTTTACAAGGACTTTTTCATAGGCCTCTCTTAGTATCTGCAAAATATATCAAACAATGTACTGATTTGGTTATGAGTACAGCAATTTATCTAAAAAGAAGTAAAAAGTCTTCAAGGCAGACTGCTTTTGATGCATCAAATTTTCCAGAAGTACTGTCACATGTTATGATTAAAACCAATGTTTGACTCCATTTTAAACAGATCTCTTAGATAAGTAATACCTAATTAGAGGAGGATACAGCACTTCTGCAAACCTGAAAAAACCCCTTTATTTTTTTCTCATACAACCACTGATTTCATTTACAGTAAAGCACTGTTAAGGAGTGCTACAGTGTAACTCCAGCTCAGAAGAGTATCCTGCAGCTGTTCATTCACTTGAGGAGAATGGGAATCTACTACATGGGATCCCTGCTCCAACTGAAGCTATGCAGCAAATGTCTCACCACAAGAGGCAGAAGTTGGCTGGATGCTGTCAGAACATGAGCAATTGAACTGGGTCAGCGTTCAGAGATACAATTCCTCTGAGCACGGATGGCAAGAAGAGACTGATGGCTCTTACATTGGAAGAGCAAGGACAGGGAGTTTCTAACACAAGTAATCTTAATCCCTCATCACCCTTCATGCTTAGTGGTTCTAACCTAGTAAGTGCTTCTTTATACAGAGGACATTCCCTTTCATGGGGTTGGAAGGGACAAAAGGCAAGTCAGAGAATGAAAGGCAAGGAATCAGAAGCGCAAGTAGTAAAGAAGATGCAAGTGCACCACAAATTTAAATTGCTGAAAATTGTAATTTTTTGTTACCTACTGCTTTCTAATGGTTAAAAGTACCTATTTGCCCCTTTCTGTGACTACAGAACACTGAACTGTGGTTCCTTAAGTCTAATAAAATGTTTTGCCCATATATGTACAGGTTCAGCTTTGATGGATGCATAAACATATATGTAAAATTAGATCACTTCCACTACCACTCCCTCCTACATATATTGCTTTACATACTTCCATTGACTTTCATCAACTGTAGTTAAGCAACTTGTTTCAGACGTTATAAAATCCTTACCATTTTAATAGCAGAAATGAGTTTTCTAAAAAAGTGTGACTGAAACGTTTTTCTCCCACATTCAAAAAATTATTTATAATTCAAATTAAAACAGCATTTTGGAACAGCCTTCTCAATTCATATTGGGTTCTCTCAATCTCTCCAAAAGATGAGAATAATTCTTTTCAGTTTAAGAGCTGATTTTGTTATGTACCACAGCTAGCATGCCTTGAAGTAGTAATTACTTCTACAGACTATATAGACTGAGCACTTAGAAAAATCTGCCTTTGCCAGAAAAAAAATCCAAGTAAGTCAGACAAAAAAGATTTTAATATGTATATTAATAGCAAAAGATACAAATGACTGCTCTTGTTTCCCTTCTTTATTACTGAGGTGTTCATTCGTAATCCAGAATATCAACATGCCTCAGCATGATGATGAGCTCTGATTGCCAGCTCAGACTTAATCACCCAACCCTACCCATATGAATTCTTAAAGACCTGTTTGGGTGTGGTTTTTGTCAACATTTTCTGATTTCTACCTTCATTTACCAGTGAAAGGCTCTTTATGTTGCTAGCTAGTGTTGTTCAAGTCACTTACACTACACTTTGCAGAGCCAGTAGAGTATCTTCAGGCAGTTGGCAGCTACCAGACATTCATCGAGCAATGATTTCCTATTTAACAAATAACTTCCTATGGAAACATTCCAAACTAGTCAGGACATCAAGATTCATCAGTATTTAGCCCAAAGAGAAGACCTCTTCAATAATACACAACAGCATTAGATAAAAATTTTTTCCTCCAGCACAGTGCAGAGCATGAATATTGACCGCATCTATTACCAAGATTATTCTTTTCCAAGAATAGCTTCAAAGGCTATAACATCTATAGACAAATCTATTTAGCAGACTTGTCTGATGAGCTTGTGGCAGCTTCAAGGTGCTTAAATGAAATACTGTGAGACAGTCATCGCTGAAATGTACAGAAGTCATCTGACACTACATCAGCAACCTTATTCAAGAAAAAAACCACCAACATAATCTGTTATCACTATTAAATACTTGTATTTTTTAACAAAGTGCAATAACTCACGTATTTTGCCTCAAACTTCTTGGCAAGCATTTCTACTTCATGTCGCTCACGTTGTTCATCGTTATATGGATCCTCTGAATGAACCGATTTCTTCTGAAAAATGCAAAAGTTACACATTCATTCCATAAGAAACAGAGTGCATCTCAAAACCTATTAAATGTCAGAAAACAATGCTCTGATGATTAAGTTGTCAGAATTTATACTTAATCTCTAAAAATCACTCAGGTCTTTGAATTGCCATCTAGCTACTTTTCTTCTGATGACAACAAAAGCAGAAAATTAAGATACTCAGATTTGTATTTTCCCAAGCATTCCACAACAATCTCAACTATAAGTCTAAGCATAAGAGAGAATTATTTTTTTTTTAGAAAAAATTCTCTCTAATCACAACTCCTTTTTACCTCTTCTTCCACTCACTGGCCCCTCTAACAGCTGTTGTGATTCTTCTAGATATAACAGACAGGATGTACATGATGTGTTAACCAGGAAGGAAACAGCCAGAAGACTAAAAAGCTCAGTAAATTATAACCATAATTAATGTAAGTCTTTTATCTAAAGAAAAAAAAATACAGTGCAAGACTTATTTTCAGTAATCATAACTATGTTAGCCACAAAAGAGATTTCATATTGCAGCTATACATACAAGGAGGGAGTAGCCCCTTACTTTTTGGTGTTTTTTAGAAAAGAGGTTTTCACTGAGACAAAGTCAATGAACAGAGTATAAACAGTGCTTTTGGTTTTTTTTAATAAGTGATGGCAGAAAAACAGGGCTGCCATCCTTCAAACTGGTGTTCACATAAATACAGTAATTGCCAGAAGGAGGAAGGTACTAGGATGCTAAAATATGGTGGAATGGAATTCCATTTTGCAGAACTTTATGGATGGCAACTGATTTTACTGCACATGGACTACTCACCAATGAATAAATAAAGATTTATGAAGAATAAAACAAACAAGTTCAGAAAAGCAAGACCTTTCCTCCACAGTTTAAGAAGCCAGAATATTGACTAAACGGTGACCAAACCAGCTCATTAGCATCAAGACCAATGTAATGAGGAAGGTAAGCTAAGCAAAACTGCAAACACCACATAATTACAATACATTTTCCAGACTGAGTATTTGGAGAAAAAATTAATAGAGGCTATAGTTACTCCTAAAACATAAATTAAAGCCACTTACTTATTTCCTGCAGGCATAATTAAATATAAAATACTGCTCAATTCATGAAACATCATTTCCTCTACTTTTAGCTGGGAAAAGGTATTTCTCATCTTCTGCTAGGCATATGTGGCTTTTTTCTAACTGTGAAAGGAGACAAGATTGAGCCTAAAGTTCAATGAAACTTAGTACTTAAGTGTTAACTTGCCTCTTTCCATCAAACACTCAAAGCTGAGTAGCAACTTATTTAGTTAAGCAGTACTGAAAACTGAAATTCAAGCAAATTTTAGTTGTTTGACTGTTTCTAAGGGATGGATGGCTCTTGAACTAAGACATTACTACTTCAGCACCTTTGGAGCCTGTTCAACAGAAGCCAACTTGAGCTTCCAGCTCACCCACTTTGACTTGGGTTTTATGCACCAAGCTTCAGCCACCCCAAAAGAAATGGGAGCACACTTTCACTTCTGCCAGCATTTAAGAGGCAAATAAACCCTTCAACCACACCAACCTATTACTCACATTCAAAACTTTACATAATTCCTCCCAGAAGATGAACTCTACAAACAAACCTATCAAAGGATGTTCTCTTTATCAAGGCAAAAAAGGACAAGGACAGCACAAGTGTTTAAAATAAACATTTCCACTAGCTTCTGATTCAGCATAGGAACCTAAATTTGGAATTAAAAAAAGACAGAAGTTGCACTGCCAAATCAGTTTTGGGATTCTCTATCACTTGATTATTATGTAACTACTATTATCATGGCCTATTAAAGCCATATTTGAAGTTATGCCTGTGCACGAGTGCTTGCCTTCCTTTGGAGAGCTTTTCTTGGTTGCTACAGTTCCTACAAGAATACTACAAGATAGAAAGAGAAGCTCCTGACTTTGTAATGTTAAATTTTAATGGGAAATGTTATAAAAAAGTTGAGCAACTTTTTATAAGGGAGGAGTCAACAATAGCTTCCAGAAAACCAAATCAATCTTCACCTCTACAAAAAATTGCATAGTAAAGTATCTGAACTGTTAATTTTAAATTGAAACATTATTAAAACAACAAATTTTGAAATCTAAAACTCCACTTAACACCACAAAATTAACTACCAGCTAGTAACTACCTACCTTGAAAAAGCAAATTTCAAGATTTTAAATCTTCCCTAATATTAGAGTAGCTTTTCCAGGTTATATCATATAACAAGCAAGAAATTAAACTGACAGGCCAAGTATACATCAGGTTTTAAACATGAGTAAAAGTTCAGAATCACTTTAAAAGGATCCTAGTTTATGACACTGTTTTCAGAGTAAATCAGCAGATTGTTCCACAACCCAGTAACAGAAGTGCCATTACGACCCATTCATTTTAATTTGGACTCTAAGGAGCTGAAACATATACGAAGTTTCTTATAAAGCATTATTATCACTGTCTCTACCATAAAAGCAGTTTCTGATCCCAGTTGTACCAAAATCCCCTAAATCAATGCTCTCCCACCCCCAGAAGACATGGAATTTGCATCAGAACTACATCAGAAAGAGCCCGTTTTCCCTGAGTATGTGATTAGGATACTGGCAACCTTCAGAATAAAAGGCAGTTATGGAACTGGGAACTGCCAAAGGGAAAAGCCAGCCTTCAAGTACTGAACCACTTCTAAACACTAACACAATTTTCACCTTCACAGAACTGCTCAGAAAGATTGCACTTCAGAGAGCAGCATGATTATGCTACACTAATTCTGAGGAGTCATAACTGGCACTGTTTGCCCACAACAGCTGTAGGACAGGATGAACAGAAGGAACCTTTTAACTTGCATGACAAGATCTGAGGGATTAAAATCAGTCACTGATTTTTCTGCCTTCCACACTTGAACACAATCCAGCGTGTATATTCCTCCTACAGCAGAAAAAGTGAGCAGCTTGCTAAGTATAGCTACAGCACCGTCATCTCCTAGAAACACTTTGGTGCAGAAGAAAAGTTTTAACCATATTCAAGTTTGCTCTGGATGTAAAAATCCCATGGCAGTATCTGTACTGGTATTTGATACTTGCTTTTATCACCAGATCTACCACAGCCTTCTAAGTAGTAGTTACTTGCCCTCTGCCTTTTCCAGTAAGAGACAAGCTTTCTCTAAAACTGCGCACTGGATTAAAGACAAGCCACAACTATTTAAATCAAGTACAACTTCACTCAACTAAGTACAACTAAGAATGAGCAGCTCAAGTGTAACCAGCTTAAGGACATGTGTCTCTCCTTCCTACTTGGAAGAGTGGGCCCTGTTGATTGGCTAACACTGCTTGCTTCCTAAACTCTGCAGAAGCTTTATCCTTAAAAAAACAAAGTAGTTCAAGTATCAAACACTTTCTGCTTGGAAGGAACAAGAAAGGAAGAACACTTTGGTTATCTCCTTGAATTAAGTTCTCAACACTTACAGGTGTGGTTACCCGTTCAATATTAACTCTCATTTATCCCTGTCTCCTCCAAGACTACAAAAACTCCTCTCCAAGTCTGCTAATGATCACTTCCCTGCTTCTCGAGGCTTATAGCAGAGCCGGGCTTTCTTTATTTACCTGCACACAGCCTAGGGACAAGGCGGAATACAAACCGGCGTGGTCAGAGTATCGTTCAGCTGCCGGTAAAGGGCTCCCAGGAAGGGAGGATGCAACACCTCTCGGGGCAGGGAAGGGGAGCGGCAGGGAGGTGAGCCGGGGTAAGCGGGACACAAGACAGTCGCGCCCCTCCGCCTCAGCCCGCAGGAGAAGCCGGGAGCCCTTGGCCAGCTCAGGGACAAGTGGGAAGCCTCCCCTTCCCCCCACGGGCACGGGCACGGGCACGGGCGCAGCCTCAGCACCAGGAGGAGTCCGCAGCGACGACACGGCAGCCGGACATCCCTCCAGGACGCCGCCCCTCCCGCCGTACCGGGACCACCCCCGAGCAGCAAGGGGTAACCGGTAACACCGTCGGCAAGGCCGGGGCCGCCGGCAGCCGAAAGGAGGAGGAGGAAGCCCGGCAGGGTCCGTGCCGGCGGGAGGGGAGGGAAGAAGGGGAAGTCCCGTACCCGCGAGTCCCCGCACAGCAGCAGCTCCGGGTAGCTGAACTCCACGCAGCCCTCCTCGGTGGGATCCTTCAGCACCACCTCCAGGCGCACCGTCTGGCGGAGCGGGAGCGCCTCCCGCGGCGGCGGCGGCTCCTGCCGCCCGCTCTGGCGCGGCGGTGGCGGCAGCGGCGGTGGCTCGGGCCGTGGGGGCTCCCGCTGCGGCGGCTGCTCGGGCCGGCCGGGATCTCGGGGCGGCTCCGGGCGGGCAGCGCTGTCGCCGGGCGGCTCGTGCGGCGGCGGCTCCGGCGGTGGCGCCTCACGGCCCGCCGGAGGTGGCTCCGGGTCGCGGCCCGCCGGCTCTCGATCCAGCGCCGGGCTCTCGCCCTCGCGGCGCCGCACGGGTGACAGGCTAATGAACGGCACCCTGCGCGGCTCCGCCATCCTCCTCCGCCGCCGCCCCCCCCCGCCCGCCGTCCGCCGGCCCCCGCCTCACACGTTCGGTGACACCGCTCTCCGCGCTCCCTCCCACCGGCCCCGACTCCTCCCTCTCCCTCCTCCCCGCTCCGCCGCCCGGTCGGAGCTACCCCTACGTTCTCCTCGCCGCCCCCGCCATCTTGGCGCCCCCCCACATAAATAGAGCAGCCCCGCAGCCCGCGCAGGCGCAGCTGGGCCCGCGTCGCTGCTGTTATTGCTCAGCTTCCCCCGGACGTCAGCGCGGCCGCCGCCGCCCACACGCCGCGGGCGCCGGGCCCGCCCCCGGTTGCCGGGGCGATGCGTACGCCGGGCCCGCCGCCGCCTGCAGCCGCGGGGGCTGCGCCGCGCTCGTCCTCCTGGGGCACCGGGCCTGCTGAGGGGAAGATCCGCTGAGGTCCCCAAAGTCGGCGGCTGCCGGTCAGTCACCAGAGAAAAGCCACCCGTGCGGGGAGAGCGGCGTTCCCAGCCAGAACGGCGCGGACGCGCCGTGTCTCTGTAGCATCAGCCCACGCTGAGTGGAACAGCAGAGGACATCGGGGTTTTACAAAACCGTGCCGTATGGCGGGGTTGATCGCGGCTTGTTCCTGCAGAAGAGCAGCCGCTGCCCGGGGTGCCGGTCTGCCCTCCGCGGCACGGAGCTTGTTCAGCGGCCATGCCTGGTCTGGAGGGCACCCGCTCTGATTGCAGGGAGCAGCTGGGGCTTGTTGGGAAAGAGCTGCCAGAGAGAGAGGGGACGACGCGAGGAAGGCAGGGTTTGAGCAGCAGCGAGACTTCCCTCATGAGCAGGAGCTGCCTGCAAATATTGCAAGTGTTTCAGTCTGTCACCACCTACTTTGACAGACTGATGGCTGGTATTTCCAGATGGAGGTATGCCACCAAGGCAATGTGAAGTTTCAGGAAGCTTATGAAAATCATGAGTATTGTATCCTCTAACTTCATTGGAGCAGAGAAAAAGATATTACCATTTTGGGGGCATTTTTTAGTCTCAGAAATACTAAGTAGGAGTCTATTCTCTTTTTTAAAAATGTACTCATGCAAAGTAGGCAATTTACATCTATTATTTTGCATAATGATAACAGATTATTCTGTGCATCACATTACTCCACTTTTCAAACTACATCCATCACTGTGTTTGATGTTTTCCTGTCATTGCATAGGAAGCCTTTTAACTTGACTTTTTAATTTCATCTAGACTCCAGAGAAGATCCGTGACACTAGAACAATATTACTGAAAGTTATAACATCAGTAACAGGGAATGGAGGGCATTCCAGAATACTGCTTGCAGCAGCAAGTCACTGGAATGACTGATCCGATCTGAGAAATGTAAACTTTCCTTTTGAGCCTTGAAACTTTGTTGAGCTTTATGGTCTAAGGGACTTGTTTTATCTTAAAGCCTTGCATGTTGTGGTGTGACTAGCAAGCTTAGTAGAGGTGGATGTATTCCTCAAATATGTTTCGGCTTTCAGCATCATAATAACAAGATTTGGTAGTTGCACTTGTTCTCCGTTGAGAATTTCATACAGCTATCAGCTGATGCACAAAATGAGAAATATATTTCTGGATTCAAACTGAGTGAGCAGCCCTAAGCTCCAGGCCTCTGGAGATTCTGGTTCTCATCAAAGTTTCTGTGTAATCTATGCCATTAAATCCTGTGATGGTAAAAAGGGGCCTTTCCTCAGAAAAAGAGCAGTTTATTGCATATCAAACAGAAATCTTATGTGGAAGTCACAGGCTCTTCTGCAACTCTGCTGAACTCTTTTTTCAATTACCAGATGAGAGACTAGACCTTGAAATAAGTACAAGAATAATACAACAGGTAGTTGCTTGACAGATAATACTTGGATATATCCATGAAAAGTGATAAACTATGTATTTTAAGTATCTAATGTAAAACTCCATTCAGTCTTTCAGTCTCCTAACTAAGATATAGGGGACTATATTCAGAAGTAATCAATGTAGGGCATGCCAGAATAAAATCAGTTTTATGAGTACCTGAATCCAGTGCTTCATATTGTCTTGTAGTGTAGATACAAAGAAGACCAGTGTAGAGTAGACCTGGAGCCACATCTTGGTCAGATTTTTAATATGCTTTTAAAGTAGGGGGGAAAAAAAGCTGGAAAGGAACAATCAACATTCAACCCATGGTAGCGTTACTGAGAAAACCAGAAGTAGTTCTTGGAAACAGTTTCAGGTGGCCATTTGTTCTGAGATTGTAGACCTTGATATTAGAAGCAGCCTTTCACATCTAAGGTTACTATGAAACAGTAATTCATATGCCCCCTTTTCTCCTAGGATTTTAATTAGACAAGTAAACCTCTATTTCTGTATTATCTAATCTCTAAGCATCTTAGAGTGCACATACCATTTTTATAAGGCTTAGTATTTGTTTGTGCAACTGGACAAACAGTAGTTCTGGTTCTTTGCATTTAGAGTGAAGTCACTAAAGACAGTTTGCTCTGTGTATCTGAACTAAATCAAAAAGAACCTTGGCAGCAGAGCCAAGCATAGTAGTTACTGGAATATGTTAATGTTACATTTGGTCTGACACACTAGAACCATTTGGAAAAAAAACCAACCAAATTCACTAGATCATAACCTCTCAAGGAATTTGGTTTTAAATACACCATAACAGTTCCAGGCTTGTACCATTTCAAACACATTCAGTAGGAGTCAGATTTGTAATTTATCCATACTTTTTATTCTGTTTTCCTACCTGTTTTGTTCTTTGTCATTAAGCTCCATCTCAGGTACTGTCTGTACATAGTATAATGTGCTCCTTGTCAGTACAACACCAAATTTAACAAGTATCATTTTTTAAAAGTAACTAGAGATGTGCTGCCAGTTACTTTGCTTTCTCTCAGGATATGGCCATGTTAAATAGTCCAACATTGAATACAGATTCCTTCCCTTTGTATGTTATATGAAGGACACAGAGAGGCACACTTAGAGTTTAAAAAAATTTAACAACTACACAAAGAGAGGTGATACTGAAACAGCTTTTTATTTCACTGGTGAAAACCAGTATGAGTAGATCAGACAAAGTGGATGCTTGGAACTACAGATGCCACAGCCACATCAGTGAGCAGCAGTTTGTTGACCTGACTTAGTTTCAAATACAGAAAACAACAGAGACAGACCAGCAAACTGCAGAGGCCTCTACTTTGGTGCAGGTTGGATCCTCCTGCTCTGCTTTGGACTGGCTTCCCTGTCTGCAGCACTCTCATGTTTTTGGGCTGTGTTGGTTGTGGATAGCTGTACAGAGCTGCACCTTGTTTCATTACAGACCAGTGGTCACTGCTGTCCTGGACCTCATGGAAGCCATTGTCTGGCTTCCTCTGGGCTGGACACCCCACAGCAGCAGGTCCAGGGTCCCACCAGAAAGCAGAGCTGTCCTTATCATCAATTATATCTGTCTCCAAGGAGCTTGTTTTCAGTTTCAAAGGCTATTACTACATAATAAGCTTAGGTGGCATGGGATGGCAGTTTGTTCTCTCCTTTCCTTAAGGAGAGCACTGGGATCTACATTAGAGGTAACAGCTGTAGTGGCAGCCAGCTCATAGCAGTGGCAGTCACATCTCCACTGCTCCAAAGTCTCCAAGACAGAGAGAGAATATTCTCATTTACCATCAGGTGCTTCTTCACTATATCCTAGATTTCTTATGGTCCAACCACACAGCTTGTTGATCCTTGTGGTCCTTTCACTGGAACTGCTGCCACAGCAGCTGCAGCTTCTATTTCTGTGTCACGAGATGATACAGCCTGCAGGTAGGTTGGTGTTTCTGTAGCTTTTACTGGAACTGCTGCTGCATCACAAGAATCCACTGCACCAACAATATGGTTGCTGGTTTTCTGTTTAATGAGGATTTCTAAACTCAAGTGTGTTCTTTTTTTTAATTTCTCTTTTCTCTTACAGCTTTACTAAGTTGCTCTCTGCTAGACCCAGAATCAAGAAATAAACCACTTGCTTTTTTTCCAAAATGAAACACCAATGCCTTTCACACATTCAGAAAACTGATTTATCTGCAGGATCCTGCCCCCTCATATTTTTATTATTGTTGTTCTTTTAAGTAAAAATACTGTTTCCAGAAGAATATACCTCTAGCTTTCTTTCCTCAGGAATGTGTATTTAAGAGCTGTTATCAGCAGCTCTGCCACATCCTTGAGAAGTCTGAAGTACACTTTTCAGTGAAGTAAACTGTTTGGAATGACTGTAGACAGGAAGAGAAATGCCAAATTCACTCTAGGAAGGCTGTGTGCATTAGCTTCAGGTAATTAGGATCTCCTTTGATGGGACAGTAATATTAATTTGTCACAATTTCAAGGCAGAGGAACTGTGATAATGAACTTTATCCCATACGTTTTTATTTGCTCCCTGTGAATTGCTCAAGCCCCACTTACTGGAGAATTTGAGCCCAAGAGACACTGAACTCCTCTCCAGAGCTTTAAGAAATGCTTTGAACAAATCTGACCAAAAGTGCAAGATTTCAGTGGCAGTAGGAAGTTTTAAAAATGGTAACAATTTTTATGCAACAAATAGTTACTGCTCCTCTAACTGGAAGCACAGCATTTTTTACCCCAGAAGTGGATTTAGGTGCATCTTTTGCTCACTTGCTGAGATGAGGAGTGGTCTTCCAACACCATGTTTTGTGCCAGAACAACATAAATGGCATGACTGTGTATCTCAGAGGTAGCTGATGGAGAAAAAACGTTGGCTTTTATCTCACTTAAGCTAGAAATCAGGGCAAGTCATCATGTGAAAAAAGTCAAGGGATTTACAGGAAGGGATGTGTCACGGTAGTGTGAGTTCCTCAACCAAAGGTGAGGGTGTTATCATCCCTGCTGTTCAGAAGAATTTTCTCAATGAGAAATTTAACGCTGACACAAGTTCTGAATGACTGGTGATTTTTATGGCCTACAGAATATTGTAACATTCTTTAAGCTAATACATAGGATAAGACTGTTGCCT